ACCCCTTTCAATCTGCAATTTTCCAGAAACATCTGATTTTGCCCTAATTTGGCAAAGGTTAAGCCCTTAATACAATGTTTGATTTTTCATACAAATCTGATTTTTCCCAATTTTGCTAAAAATGCAAGGTGAACCCTTTACAATCTGAAATTTTTCATGAACACCTGGTTTTGCCGTATTTTGCTAAAAAATGCAAGGTTAACCCCTAACAATTTGAAATTTTTCATGCACATTAAAATTTGCCCAATTTTACTAAAAAAGCAAGGTTAACCCCTTACATCTGAAATTGTTCAGAAACATCTGATTTTGCCCAATTTTGCTAAAAATGCAAGGTTCACCCCTTACAATTTGAGATTGTTCATAAAAATCTGATATTGCCCAATTTTGATAAAAATGCCAGGTTAACCCCTTTCAATCTGCAAATTTCCAGAAACATCTGATTTTGCCCTAATTGAGCAAAGGTTCATCTCTTACAATTTTTGATTTTTCATACAAACCTGGTTTTTCCCAATTTTGCTAAAATGCAAGGTGAACCCCTTACAATCTGATATTTTTCAAAAACACCTGATTTTGCCCTATTTTGCTAAAAAATGCAAGGTTCACCCCTTACAATCTGAGATTTTTCATAAACATCTAAATTTGCCCAATTTTACTAAAAAAGCAAGGTTAACACCTTACAATTTGAAATTTTTCATTCACATCTTATTTTGCCAAATTTTACTACAAAAGCAAGGTTAACCCCTTACAATCTGAAATTTTCCAGAAAGATCAGATTTTGCCCAATTTCGCTAAAAAATGCAAGGTTCGCACCTTACAATTTGAAATGTTTCATAAGCATCTAAATTTTACTAAAAATGCAAGTTAAATGCTGTTAAATCAATACACGAAGTGTCCAATTTGACTTTTTTAAAACAAATTATTTTGCCAGTTTTTTAGGGTAAAGGAATTTTCTCTTTTTCCTTTCTCTTTTGTTGTTATATTTCACACATAGGGGCCTGAATTATATTTTTTTAAATTTAATAGAGACGCATTGATCGTGCTATCATATACCATTCTATTACTATTGCGAATTACTGTATTGTTTGGAATGCTCACAATTAAAGACACGTTATTTGAAAGATGTATAAATAATATTTATATTACAATGTACATCTTTATTCTTTTCCGGTATAATTTATGGCGTTTCTTACGTCAATTGGCAATCGCGTCATTATATAATGATAGTCAAATTGATCAAACGAAACTCCGTTTTGATTATAGTCAGTTATGAAATATTCATTGATTTATGACATACACCTTTGTTTCAATTTTGTTACTACCCGTAGACCTGCCGAGCAGCTGTAGATATCAAACTAAACCAAAGTATAAAAGATAGAGGGTAAAAAAAAATCAAAAAGTTATGTGCTAGTCAAGCTTTCAGGGATCGGTCTGAGCCATAACAATGCCCCAGCCGATCCCTTAGTTCTCTTCCGGGGTCTCGGCGTCCCCGACCAATACACACTTCCTTTCCTATCCATCCATATAACCCCGGAGGGCCAGGCACCATGTAAAAGCAAATAGCTAAGGGAGGAACAGGGCGGCCCCTAAGCCCTGATCCTCCGAGTGGACCAAATGCCCTGAACCTGTACGAAGGCGCCAACCTGGAAGTCGCGGACAGTACCAGCAGCAGTGCTTACCGATTAAGCTAAGGTACTGTTGGTGATTTACGACGGGAAATTAAATCTCTTATAGTGAATATTGAACTCATACGTTAAAAACCAAAAAGACATCAGCGGGATTCGAACCCGGGACCCTGCTAACCGTGAACGACGAATCGTAACCACTCGGCCATTTCGTTACCTTAGAATTTTCCTTAAACAGAGAAAAGTTGTCTTTATAGGAGAGAAAACGCGCCAGGAAGATTACTGGGTCCATTTGCTTTACCTTAATGGGTAAAAACAAGTCGATATAATGAGCCCAGTGTGTTTGGTTTGTTAGGAAGCTGCATAACACAGCCTAATGTGCAAAACAGTCGTGTGCTAGGCGGATCATTACGCAACAATGAACACCGCAATTGTGTATTTTCAAAAGGCAGACGCTTAGATTTCTACTCTTTGTATCTGGGCACATATAGATTCTCACCTCCCTCTTCAGCTATTTCGACTTTCTTAAAAAGAAAAATAGAGACTGTCAGCGAATCTCCGGGAGTTGAAATAAGGATCGTCCCCTCGATTGACCTCAGACACAGTAAAGTTCAACATTGGGCTCTTTTTCAACAGCTGTTTTTTTGGAAACTTTACATCTGGATTTTTTAGAAGCATCTGATTTTGCCCAATTTTAGTAAAATATGCTCCAAATTTTGCTTAAAAAGCAAAGTTAACCCCTTACCATTTTAGATTTTTCATACAAATCTGATTTTGCCAAATTTTACTAAATATACAAGGTACACCTCTTACAATTTAAAATTTTTTATAAACATTTCTTTTTGCCCAATTTTGCTAGAAATACAAGGTTAAGCCCTAACAATCTCCAATTTTCCAGAATCATCTGATTGTGTGCTATTTTGCAAAAAAAAAAAAGGTTACCCCTTACAATTTGAATTTTTTTCATGAACATCTAATTTTTCCCAATCTTATTCAAAAAGCAAGGTTAACCCCTTAATCTGCAATTTTCCAGAAAAATTTGATTTTTTCCCATTTTCGCTTTAAAAAAATGCGAGGTTAACCCCTTTCAATTTGAAAGTTTTCGTAACATCTGATTATGCCCAATTTCGCTAAAATATGCAATGTTCACCCCTTACAATTTGAAATGGTTCATAAACATCTAACCCATACAATCTGCAATTTTCCAGAAACATTTGATTTTTCCCGATTTTGCTAAAACAATGCAAGGTTAACCCTTTACAATTTGATTTTTTTTTCATAAACATCTAACTTTGCCCAATTTTACATTTAGCTAATGCTAACAAATTATCAGGTAACTGGATCATTAAACGGGACAGGTGCACATCGGCCTTGGAGCTCAGACCATGTGTCATGCATTCCTCAATGCATAGATGATGCACATAACACTATGGGTAGTACAGGCACAGCTGGGGGTACTGCCCAAACAATGATGAACGCATTGCGTATGCTTAAAGAATTACCCACAATTCCGGTTTTTACCGTTTAGGTCTGGCTCTAATCACTTTACGCGATCCCCTGACGTCTCATACACTGACTTTAGGCAAAATAGTCAGACTTTCGCGGTCTAGTAACCAGACTTTGACTCTTAACGAAACATCGAATGAAAAGGGAAACATTAAATGCATATTGCAATAGATCGAATGCAAACATACCGATGAAACATCGAATACAAATAGCTCGAAATGTCAAACATAAAATATTATGTGTAAAACATTGCTCACATATTTGAGAATATCGCAAATATATTGTAAAACAACACACACAATTGTATCGAAAAACATCGCACATTTAATGCAAAAAAATCGAACATGATAATATTGAAAACATCGCACATATATATCGTCAAAAACATCGCACATATAAATTGAAAATCGCATATAAATGTAAAACATCGCACACATATATTGAACATCGCACATATATTGTAAAACATCGCACAAATATATTAAACATCGCGCAAATAATGAAAAACATCGCACACTTATATTGAACATCGCACAATGTAAAAGATAACAAGCACATATTGAACATCCAACATATATATTGCAAAATATTGAATATTGCAACGTTTGACACGCCATACGCCTATAGTTGTTCTGTTTCCTTTCAAAAGAGCGCCCCAGCTTTGCCCGCTATCGCCCCAGGCCATACTCCCCTTTGCTTTTTATAAACGCATGCAGGAAAGAAACTGTCACAATGCTGCAGACATGTTTAATGTGGGTTAGCGCTAGTCCTTGCATCGTTACGAACAGATATTTCATTGGTTAGTGGCTTTTTAATTGGGTGTGTGGGTGGGGGGCATCCTTCTAGCGGCCTTGGGTTGCAGTATAATACACGTATGAATTATGAGTGTGCAGTAAATGAGTGAACTTGCAATCCCGTCACGAACAACTGTTAAACTTTCTCCACTGAAATTACTAAAGTATTGATCGATCCCATTAGAAAAAAAATGCATTGTTGAGAAATACCGTGCCTGTTGATGCGTATTCGTAGTCCTACCATTACAGTGCACCGTGACATGTCACGGTTTGTTAACTTTTATCACTGGTGCACTTTGCTAGCCAGCAAGCCTGAAACTAGCGTGCAGGACACCATGCTAAGCAAAGTCAGGCCATACTTCACTCACTCGTAAGCCGACAAAATCTTCCAAAAATCCCCATCGGGCCAACCGCAAAAGTGTCGTCACGAGTGCTTTCACCATACAAGTTTAAGGTCTCTAATCAAATTCAAAAGCAATTTTTTTTCCCATCATTTCCCGCCAGGTATTGATTGATTCCAATTAGCCAAATTAGTTAAGAGCAAAATTTGGTGCATGTTTTACAGGCAGTGAGATTAATTTAATTGTATGGTAGCATGACATAGGATAGAATGTATAGACCCATCACTGGAAATCAAGACAATAGGAACATCAGTTTTATTAACTTTTGTTAGACTTTTTAGTTGTGATGTACACACACTGTAAAACATGTTGGGTAAAACACTATTGGGGAATGTAATTTTACCCAACATCGGTTTGAAATTACCTCATTGTGGGTTGATTTGGGTAAAAATTGCCCAACCATTGGGAAAAATTTGTCCAAGAGTTTAACCTGTTGATATTTTAACCAACACTGGTCTACATATCAACCTGTATTGCCCAACGTGTTTACGGTGCATGTACCACATAAGAGGGAGACTGGTTGCTTCAAGAACCTGTCTCTCTTCCTTGTTGTGTATGCTTATATAACTATAGTTTTAGGACATCACGTTCTCTGACTAGTGTGCCAATCAAGTGTGGTTTGCTTCTCAGTGGTTCGAGACGATACCCCCTCGAAAGCTTTATTGAGAGAAACTTACCGAGTACTATTTGCCTTTTCACTGTCGCATGTTGGTTCAAAAATGACCCAAAGAAAACCAGGGAGACACTCGAGAAGCCAATCAAGGTAAACAGCATCGCAGGAAGACTGCCCCGACGAAAGACGGACATCTTCCGGGTTGTCGTCGGCAGTGTTGAGCGATGCCTCTTATTGGTTGGTAGTTGGGTACTTAGCATGTTGAAGAACGAGATCGGAACAGCTAGGACGGTGATTCAAGGAGGCCAGACCTAGCTAGATGGGGCCGTGTGTGACTGTTCATTTCATAGTGTTGACAGCTGATCAGCTAGCGATTCTGAAAATACTAGCTCGACTCTGGGTGGCTAATAAGCTCTCAGTCAGTGACATCATGTACAACACAGTTATTTCTAAGATCGTTGGGCCTCGTTTAACCATGGAGGAATATTCACACGATAAATACATACGCTATCGATTCACGAATTACAGATCTATATCCCACTTGAACCAAAAAAGGAAGTGAAGTTGTCACTGCCATACTTAGTGCCAGGCATGATAACCAGTAATGCACGTACATGTATTTATTTGCGACGACTCATGCTTCAGTGGGCAGGGTCTAATAACAATACCTGTATGGACGTGGTCACGTTGGCATTGACTGCACAGGCCTACAGTGATTTTGTATTGCTCCCTTTGATATTCCAATTCCTACTTGGATGGCCCAATGATTCACAGCAAGGGTAACCTTTGTGTTATTGTTAGGGTGGTTTTTTTTTCTGCCAGAGAACACGTAAGCAGGATATCCATACAAAAAGTGGAAAAAAGGTCACATATATACACCCAAACTATACAGTAGTTAAAGTAGGGGACCTCAAAGCTTCAAGAACTTTAAACCCAAAATCCACCACCAAGCTCCAAAACAAAACTGTCCTTTCTTTTTTTTTAAGAGAGAGAAAATATTTTCATCAATTCTTTCATTCACAAAACTGTTATAAATTTAAAAAAAAAATGCTGATCAAAAAGTACAGGACACAAGTGCACAATAAGGTCTGGTCGTGTCTCAAGCGTACAAAATAGCTGAGGGTGAAAACAAAATATATCTAGTATGATAGTAGTGCAGTGGTTAGGAAAGAACCCTGAAATCCCCCACAGCTGATCATCAGTGTTGAGGTTTCAGCTGCAGCCTTGACAATTCTGTCAGCTATTTTTGAGAGGGTTGTCAGACGCTTCGCCCCACTTCCACTTCGCCCAATTTCACTTCGTGGGAATGGGGCGAAGTGGGGGATGGGGCGAAGTAGGGATGGGGCAAAGTGGGGATGGGGCGAAGTGGGAATGGGACGAGGTGGGGATGGGACGAAGTGGGGATGGGGCGAAGTGGGGATGGGGCGAAGTGACATGTGGCGATCGAAGTGGAAAAGGGGCGACGTGGTTAGAGGCGAAGTGACATGTGCCGAAGTGGAAATGGGGCGAAGTGTCCGACATCCATTGAAAGGTTATGATCATGGAGGCTATACGGTCGGAAATTATTTGTCTCCAGTTGGCCTTGCTGCACAATGGCACTCAGTTGCTTGCAGGTCCAGCTGCGTACTGGGATTATGTAGCCTATCACTAATACCTGGGATACCTGTGTTCTGTTGATTTTGGTTATGGCGAATCAGAGGTTCGAGTGTGTTCCCATGACAAGTTTGTTTTTCAATCATTTGAGTCAAACCATAATCATCACCCGATCTAAATCAGTTCACAATAAGTACTGGACGGCAATGCATTGTCATGAGACGATCGAAGCATTACGAGCCCGCTGATCGAAACAAACTTTCGCCCGGGGGTGCTGGAAATTCTAAAGAAGGACAAATTGAATGCGAACGCGGAGCGCAAATTTAGCCCTTAGGCCAAAAAAAAAGTCTCCGGTTTCCAGTATGGAGCTTGCCCAAAAAGTGGTGCGGCGACGCGGCTTTTTTTTTTTTTACCTGATTTTTTTGCTTCAAATGTCGGCTGATGACTGCAAATGGTGCCCGACTAAACTTAGTGCAAATATATGGGAGTCCAGATAGAGGCCACATAAAGCTTATTCTCGACCATAACCCAATCTAAAAACACGTTAAAATTGTGCAGCAGCAGGATTCCAGTCAAACCAGTGAGTTTGGCGGTTTAGAGACATCATCTTTCATTGGAAAAAAAACTGTTTTATTTTGCCGACGCGCATGGCTACGGCGACGCGGGCGCATACCAGAAACCGGAGACTTTTTTTTGGCCTTACCGTATGGGTTCGCTTATAAGGGCCCCTAACAAATTTCGATTCTGGATGCTCTGTGGTGCAATCTGAGGCGATGCATGACCACTTTCATCTGATTTTTTTTTTAAAGCAAAGGTTGTTTGAGATTATACTGAAAATTTATTTCATTATGTTGTTTTTAATATATAATGTTGCTCTTACAATGCTCCTAGTACTGAAGATGCAGTATTTCGATGATCTCTATAAATCGATGCTGCGTTGCTTGACATTTTTATTTTTTTTGTCCTTCCTTTTGCCGACATAATTAGCGCCGATTTTACCCATCTCAGGGCAGTGGCATAGCAGGGGGGGGGGGGGGGGGGGGTTGCAGAGTGGTAAATTGCAACCCGCTACAGATTTTAAGAGCGAGCCAGGCGGGGCCGGAAACGCGCGAAGCAAAATCGTGCCCCCCCCCCCCGACTCTTTTTCTTTTCTTTTTTCCTCCTTTTTCTTCCCATTCTCTCCACCCCCCCCTTTTTTTTGCCCCCCCCCCCCCTCTTGCCCGCCCTCGCGACGCCCATTGTCATAGGTCACTTCCTTCACAAGATTCTGTGAAGCTCATCAGCGTATCCCAGCGCCCTGTTTGCAGGGCGGGGGATATGAACGAACAGCGAAATCGGCCTGACGGAAAAAAAAATTGTCACGTCAGTCGACAGGGATGAAGAGCGCCACGTATAGTCCGAGAGTGTCCATAAGTGTTCGTTTTTAACAGCGTCCCTATGGGTGCAATAAACTGCCATTAGACCCACTGCTAAATGCCCCCACTTCAGGAAGTCAGGGAAAATACTCACAATGTATACTCTCTAAGGTGTTCGGGACACACATCAAAATTATAGCTTATTCTATCATCTTTCTTTATCTTTTGGGAGAAATTTCCATATGATCACCCCTTAAAATAGTCCTGAAACCCATCGCCATATTGAAAAACGGTGCCTACACTCCATTGCAAAATAGAGCGCTTTTAACAGCCCTTATTTCATCCAAATACAAGTTTACGTTCCAGTGCATGGCTTCCACCCTTATTCTGTACGAAGTTCATGGCCCACATTTAATATGCTCAAATACTGAAGAATTTGAGGGCATGTAAACGGTGATTTTGCTGGCGGAGGCAATTTCGGGCCGATTTACTGGCCTGCACCCACAGTAAGTTCACGATAAGTTACCTAGAATGCCATCCTTACTTCCTTCACCAGATTCTCTGAAGCTCATCAGCCCTTTCCGGCCCATCGCCCTAGGCCCTGTTTGCAGGCCGGAGGTTACGAGCGAAGCGAGATTATACGTAATTATTGCAATGTGGTGTCCTGGTGTATTGTTGTTTTCATCTAAATTAATAAGTCGTTTGTTGTTTCTTAGAATTAATGATGAGAACGTACTGTTCACATTTTTTTCAGGAAAATAATAAAAATGTTGACAGGCTGATGAAGGGCTGTTTAGAATGCGAACGGAATAAAGGTCTGATTTACAGTGTTAAACAAATCCGTATGAACAGATTGTCGTTTCCTTTTTTAAGGACGTTCATATAATGTTGGAATAGTGAGTTGAGAATCTGTATCTGTTCAAACACAAAGAGTAGAAGTAGGGTGCGGATCCAGAAGGGTGTCAAAACACCCCCCCCCCCCCCACCGCTCTGAAACGCACAAAAATGTACAATTGTTATAAAAATGATACGGGTCCGCCCGTGCGCAACAATCGGATATAAACATCTGACGGGCCTGGACCCCCTCCCGGCCCGCTAAAATTCCTGGATCCTCCTTCCCCTGAACGATTCTGATGCCTGTTTCAAAAAAGCCTACGTAATAATAGTGTTCATTGTTGCGTAACGGTAAGTAATAGCACACGTATAGGCGAATAGGCCTACGACTAACGAGGCTGCCTTATTTTCCAAAAAAATGAAAACATTATTGACAGAAATATCGACTTCTGTTACGTCCATGAAGCCAAAACAGATGTACACAACAATGTTCCACGTTTCTCCGCCTATAAAGACAAATTGTTTTGAGATGAATTCCAAGGAAGCCTGATGGCCGAGCGGTTAAAGTCGTCGTCCACGAATCGCGGAGCGCGGGATCGAATCCCGTCGGTGTCTTTTTGCTTTGCAACGCACACATTCAGTCATTATAAGATGTTTTATTTCCCGTCGTAAAATACCAACAGTACCTTAGCTTAATCGGTAAGCACTGCTGCTGGTACTGTCCGTGAGTTCCAGGTTGGCGCCTTCGTACAGGTTCAGGGCATGTGGTCCACTCGGAGGATCAGGGCTTAGGGTGCCGCCCTGTTCCTCCCTTAGCTCTTTGCTTTTACATGACGCCTGGCCCTCCGGGGTTATATGGATGGATAGGGAAGGAAGTGTGTATTGGTCGGGGACGCCGAGACCCCGGAAGAGAACTAAGGGATTGGCTGGGGCATTGTTATGGCTCAGACCGATCCCTGAAAGCTTGGCTAGCACATAACTTTTTGATTTTTTAATCCTCTATTTTTTAAAACTTCAGTTGAGTTTGATATTTACATCTGCTCGGCAGGTCTACGTTATTATTAAAATACGAAACAATGGTCTATCATGCCCGTAAATTTACTGACTCCGCAAAGTGAAATATTCCGAATTTTTGCCGTAATTTTACGGACTTTCCGTAAATGCAAATATTAATAATGCTAATTAGCGTGATTACAATCAACCACATCGGCCCAACACCTACACATAATATAGTACATCCAAGTACATACATATTGTTAATTCACTCACAACCGTGTACACATGTCCAAACTCACGTTAAGAGTGTGTATATTTTACGGAATGGAAAAACTTTTCCGAAAATTTTGCTGCAGGAAAACGGAATCCCTTTTTTTTGGGGGGGGGGCGGTGTGTGCGGGGGGGGGGGGGCTCGCACCATACGTATTTTTTTTTATATAAATGGAAAAAAAAAATTCAAAGGAGCTCTGTCCTACGAAAGCCCGTTAGTGCCAACATTTTTTTTGGGGGGGGAAGTGTTTTTTGGGGGGGGTTGGGGGAATTTTTTTTTTTTTTTTGGTTAGTTTTTTTGGGGGGGGAATTTTTTTTTTTTTGGAAATTAGCGTGATTACAATCAACCACATCGGCCCAAACACCTACACATAATTTAGCACATCTAAGGCAAAGTAAAAAAACAACAACATGTTTCTCGTCCCCGCCCGCTTCCTTTTTGGAGGCCGCCTGGATTTTTTTATTATTTTTTATTTTTGAAAAATGTAGTAAAAACACCGAAAAAAGTCCACAAATTCATCGGAAAATAAATACCAATACAAATACAACTCTAAATGACACTGTAAATATGTTCAGTTCTCTTGTCCAACTTGTGTTTAAGTTTTAAAAGTGTCTTTGAACAGTGGAACACCAACGGTTGCAGGAAATTTGAAATGGCGGCCATCTTGAAAAAAATACAAAATAACAAATAAAAAGCCCCGCTTCCTTCCTTTTTCAAAAACCCCGACAAGAAACATGTTATATTGTAATCGGCCTAGTACATATTGTTATTTCACCCACAACCGTGTACACATGTCCAAACTCATGTTAAGAGTATGTATATTTTACGGAATGAAAAAACTTGTCCAGAAATTTTGCTGCAGGAAAACGGAAGACTATTTTTGGGGGGCGGTGTGTGCGGGGGGTGGGGGGGGGGGGGGGGGGGGTGGGGGGAGCTCGCACCTTACGTATTTTTTTTATATGAATAGAAAAAAAAAAAAACGTTCAGAGGAGCTTTGCCCTACGAAAGCCGTTAGCGCCAACATTTTTTTTGGGGGGGGGGAAGTGGGGTTTTTTTTTTTGGGGGGGGGTTCATAATTGTGTATTTTGGGGTTTTTAAATTTTTTTTTTTGAAATTGTTTTTTTTTGGGGGTGGGATTTTTTTTTGACACTTTACGAAACGAAGGTTTAGTACGCGGGCATTGCCGTACTTCATGTCCATAATGTAGAAAAACGGTTTCAGGCCATAGCGGAAGTGCCGTTTCTTGGTCCATGGTTTCATAAAGGCCGCGCAGTCTATTTTTAGTTGATTTCTTTTTGGATTTTTTTTTTTTTTTGAAAAAAATATTTCCCCCCAAAAATTCAAAAAACCAAAAAAAAAACTTACCAAAAAAAATTTCCAAAGAAAAAAAAACCTTCAAAATTTTATTTTTTCAAAAATTACTAAAAATAGACTGCGCAGCCTTCATGAAACCATGGAAAAAGAATGGCACTTTCGCTTTGGCCTAAAATTGTTTTTGTACATTATGGACATGAAGTACGGCAGTGCCCGCGTACCAAACTTTCGTTTCGTAAAGTGTCCAAAAAAAAAAAAAAAAAAAAAAAACACCTCCCCCCCCCCCAAAAAAAAAACCCCCCCCCCCCCCCCCAAAAAAGTTTGCCCTAACGGGGTTTCGTACATGGGACATCGCACGAGAAAAAAATATCGGCTCATGTCAAGTAATTAATTTGAACTTGCTTGCTTTTCCGGTGGTGGTGGGGGGGGGGGGGGTAAGCGCCCCCCTTGCCCCCCCCCCCCCCCCCCCCCGCCTCGCGACGCCCATGGAACTGGAGCGCGCCATTTAAAACAAACTAGTATTAAAACTGTTTAAAGACCTGCAAAAACAAGTAAGCAAGTGTATTTGTTACAGGCCATTATTGTCCTTTAAATTTCGTTCGGAAAAAAAAAATATCGAAATCTTGAAAAAGCACTTGTGCCCCACATACCAACTTTTAAAACTGTCATACGTCATGAAAATATGTGCGTGACGAAGCAGTATTTCGATGATCTCTAAAAATCGATGCTGCGTTGCTTGATATTTTTTGTCTTCCTTTTGCCGATGGGGCCGATTCTACCCACCTCAGGGCAGTAGCATGGGGGTGGGCTGCTGCAGAGTCGCAAATTGCAACCGGCTAGAGATTTTAAGAGCGAGCCAGGCGGGGACGCGCGAAGCAAAATGTGTTGGCGACATCGGCCTGTCGGTAAAGCGTGTCACGTCAGTAGGCAGGGATGAAGAGCGCCGCGTACTGTCCGAGAGTGTCCATGAGTGTCCGCTTTTGACAGTGCAGGGTCTGCAATAAACTGCCATAGACCCCAATGATAAATGCCCCCACTTCAGAAGTTAGGGAAAATACTCACAATTTATATTCCAAGGTGTTCGAGACACACATCAAAACTAAAGCTTATTGTATCACCTTCCTTTTTCTTTTCAATTTTTGGGGGTATTCTGATGACTTTTGGGAGAAACTTCCATCCGAATACGATCACCCCTTGAAGTAGTCCTGAAGTCCATCGCCATTTTTGAAAAACGGTGCCTACTCTCCATTGCAAAATAGAACGCTTTTAGGGCCCCAATGTCATCCAAATTGCACAGAAATACAAACTCTCTGTCCTGTGTACGGCTTCCACCCTTATTGTTTACAAACCCTCAACTTCATGGCCTACAATTTGCTCAAATACTGAAGAATTTGAGGGCATGCAGATCGTGATTTGGTCGGCGTAGGCAATTTTGGAACGATTTACTGGTCTGCCCCCTTGAAACATTTGCAGACGTCTTCAGGTCATGACAGTTATCCAGAATGCCATGCCCCTCCTCCCGGCCTATCGCCCTAGGCCCTGTTTGTAGGGCGGAGGTTACGAGCGAAGCGCTATCATATGAAGATGCACGTCATGAATAGAGCCCCCTGGTGTAATGTGGTGTCCTGCTGTAATGCTATTTTCGTGTACATTTTAGTGGTTTTATTTTTTTAGAATTAAGGATGAGAACGTACTTTTCACATTATTATTTTTTTAGGAAAATAATGCTAATGAAGGACTGTTGGGAACAGCGAACTGGAAAGAGGTCTGATTTACATACAAATCCGTATCAACACAGTATCATCTCCAACTATCTTCAGTCTCCTGACGATGACTAGAGCAGGCTAGTCGAAACGTTGAGACCAAAGACAAGTTCGTTTAGAACTTACAGCAGGACTGTTCTTATCAGAACAAAAAACTACTTAGCAAAGTTGATAATAAGCAGGATACGTTCTTTTCAGAACTAATATCTTCTAAGCAGTAGTTATTACCACATGGTGTTACCGCAAACCGAAACGATACAGTATCGTTTCCTTTTTAAAAAAAAATTGTGTAAGGACGTCCGTGAATAGTGTTGACGGAGTTGAGAATCTGTATCTGTCTAAATACAAAGAGTAGCAATTTGACTCCTTGAGAAAAAAAAAACTTCCGATGATGAATGGAAACGAGCCGCCAAAAGTGTGGAACACAACAGGCGACACGCGGGCGGATCCGGGGGGGGGGCGCTTGCCCCACCCCTATATTTTCCCATGCAGGCCAACAAAACTTCAGAAAACTGCCCCTCGAAAGCACGATCTATTAGTTCCCAATTCAAATTGGAAAAGTGGCCTTTGAAGAATAATAGTGCTCCTCAACACGAATGTTATGAACTGGCCATCAACAGCAACAGTGCAGCCCCTTTTACGATTAAAAAACGGTCCCTAATTTGCATAGGCCTAACTAAATTCAAGGGCGGACCCAGAGAGGGTACTGAATGCGGGTGTGAGGCCGAAGGGCTCTCTCAAGTGAAAAGTTACATTATTGGAGAACAATACGGCTATATTGAGACTATTTCAGGAATATGCCTGCAATTTGTTTGAGTTATTATTGGTTTTTTATTTTTTTTATTTTTTATTTTACGCAAACATTATTAAAAGTGTATGCCAGTGTTGTTAGTAAAATTTGTTCCGGGTAACATCATGGAGCTATAAAAAAGGAAGCTCCATGGTAACATGTATTCCTTGCAATGTGAGCGAAAATAGTTTCAAAATTTTCTTCTCTTTCACACCGACGGAACTGAGATGCCTTTTCCTGAGCAAGTGGCCCTTTTTTTGGTGATGCCCCCAATGAAAAACGTGCCGCCGCCGCTGATCAGTTCACAAATTTAAGTTTGGTGAAATACTGGATGACAATGTCATGAGACGATCGAATTAGGGATGAACGACTAATATTGGAGGTGATGGTTTGGCCGCCATTCTTTTTAAAGTTTGTCTTTGATAAAGCCCGATCAGCCTGAGCCGAACCCGATCGACCCGCCCCACTCATACCCTCGTTTTTGTAAACGCCAAAAAAGAAGAGCTTACGTACGAGTAAATAGCGCCCTCCTGTGTCATGTAAATCATGTAAATTGCACGCATAGCAACATGCATTCTTTAGTACGTGGTGTGTGAGTGGTGAACCGAAACGCAAATTCAGTGATTGATGTCAAATTCTTACTTCTATGATGTGCATATTATCACCTATTAACGCATTTTGGGGTAAGTTGAAACTATCAAAAATGGAATATTTGATAAACCTTTGCATTCGCCACTTACGTTTGCATGACAAACGTTGGAAAAAACCTGACGCCACTTCACTTAGCGATTGTGTACAAAGTCTATGGAGAGTCAAGAACATTTTCTAACTCTCTAAAAAGTCTAAGCTTATTTCCTAACAAAATTGGACACGTTTCACAGTCTCAGATTCATGTCTTATCATCATTTTTGTAATGACTGACTTTGAGATGATACATGAAGAAAAAGTGGTGTCAGGTTGCAACTTGTTTTCCAAAACATTATCATGATTATTCGTTAACCCAAACAAACATCATGGGCAGTGCCAGTGGGCCGGCAGTGAACCTGTTTGAAACTTGGTAGGGCCTAGTGGATATTTTGCCGGAGGTAATGACGGCAAACTAACGTTTACTAAAGGTTTGCCGGCAGCAATCCATATCAACAGAGGGCGCTGTACTCTTTAAGATAGGGCTGAATTATAAAATGTATTAAATTCCCACCAAAAGTTGTCAAGCACGTTTGGTGTAATGGTTAAGCAAAGGCTCTAGAAAGCGGGATGCCTCGCGTTCGATTCCGACCGCACCACATTTTTAAGTTTTTTTTCTCATCCCCAAATAAATAAGAATATTCTTCTTTTATTATTTTAACATGTCTCAAACATTTTTTTGCAGAGTATTACATTTTCTTTTTCAGATTTGTGGCTCTGGAGGATTTTTTTTAAAAGGGAAATAAAGTCCGAAATTATAAAATGGTCTGAATCCCAACTTGTGAATACGAGGTTACAACGATAATTTTGGCATGGAGCCAGACTAAAATTTGACACCGGAAAATGTTTACGTACAAAAAAACAGTAACTGCGCATGTTCAGTGCATATCCGGCAAACTAACGTTTACTAAAGGTTTGCCGTCTCCGGCAAAATATACACTGCCTTGAAACTTTGAGTTATTTTTACTTTAGGCCTAGGCCTACTCATTACTTTTCCAGATTAACTGATCATTAATGGATTCACCTATTAGGCCTATTTATGGATAAAAAAATAAGAAAAAAAATCAGTTTTGAAACTTTATCATTCATATTCATATTTTCATATTCCTATTTATTTCCACTTAATCGTTTAGAAAAAATGTCTATTAGACATTTAGATATAAAACTAATACATTCAAGTGCTTGGCTTCACCAAAAAGCAAGCTTGTCAACTGGAGAAGTCCATTATGTGTAGAAAAAAATATATATCATGTGAAATACATATTATATTTGTTCCTTTAACTATGTTATGTTAAAGTTCTACACAATGAAGTACACTTTTTTTATAAGCTTCACTAGAGACAAGGGACCAATGGCAACACAAACAGGACAAGACAAAAACAAATCAAGTACAATCAGATCCTACATGGGACATAATTAGAAGAATATGCTCACGGCAAATAATATTTAAAATTAGAAATAAAATAATCTTCCCAGACCAAAAGTTTCTGACTATTTCTGACTAATTTAAGGTCTGGTGGATACATGTCATGTGCTTCGTAATACACATTATTATTATTTCTCGATCTCTACTCTGTAAAATTAATTTTATGTTTAATTCTTTAGATGGTCCTGGGCCACACTGAATGGATATTTGCATAAAACATGTTTCACGTAGAAATATGTCATGGACCTTTTCACTAAAACCCTAACGCCTTAGGGTGATTTACTAGGAACCTTCCTCACCCTTGCAAATTCCAATGCCATATCGTATTGTATTAAACTACAGTTGGACTGACTCCACCAATCCCTTGTGTTGGAGTTCGGCTGGATGGGGATCGTTAAGCCGGCCTCAGGTCGACCCACGATTTGCTTGCACCATGACGGAATCGTCGGCATCAAGCAGAACAGTAAACTGTAATGCACAGTCACAAAATCAAGAAATCGTGTGATTGTCGCAGAACATGTCGCAGAAGTTGAAATTTTCTACTCTTGCGACTGTTATTTTTTTTAGCGCCGACTTATGCCGATCATTTTAATGTCGTCGCAGTTACACTCAGGTCGCAAAAAAATGGGCGACTGAGTTGTTCCCGACGGTCGTAGCTCAGGCACAGCTTGATCCTGAAAAGTCAGTTGCCGACTGATCTGTGTCATTGCAAGGTCGACCTGAGGCCGGCTTTCGCGTGACTTTTGTGACTTTTGGTTCTTTTCTTTTCTTTCTTACAGAGTGAGGTATATGTGTTATTAAAAAAAAAGAACCGAGAGAGAAGTTTGAAAGCACACTGATGATGGCTGATGTCAACTCATCGGATCTCGTAAGTCTCCAGGATGGGATCAAGATTATCAAAGTGCCCGACCTAGTGAACGAGACCAATCATGTGGTGTTTGCACAGTACACCAGCGAGCCACTGTCCCCGGAGAAGCCCTACTTTAGAGTCAAAGTTGTTCAATTAGGTGAGTGGAAAGCTTTGATAACAATGAGATGATTTTTTTTTTGCCAGACTGATGAGCGTCAGTCCAGGACTTTGACTCAAAACTCGAACTGGGACTAGAACTTGACCTTCATGACTCGGACCTGATGCTAAATTACTAGATTCGTAAGTCACTTATTCAGTCAATGTTTATGCAGTCAGACCACAGTCCTGCCGAAGAATTGGTCCATCAAAGAAATCCGACATTTGCCAATCATGTGTAAAATATTAAAAACTTCTGGCTGCACTATATGGTGCAAAGACTCATTTTAAACTTTAAAACTCAAGTTTAAAATTTTAGTTGAGTCCTCAAACTTGGTGGTTAAAGGGAATATACAACAGTTGCTTTTGCTGCAATTTGCAGAAATAAATGGATTTGGAGGATTAGTGTGCTATAGAAATTATTGTGAAACTAGCTTGTTTCACGTTTTGAGTTCGGAGATGCTGGAAGATCCAAGAAAACCAACCAGGTTCTTGTAGTCTGATTTCTGACCCCACTTAAGATGAGACATTGCAATGTATAGATTTTGGGGATTGTAAGGTAAAGAGAATCAGCCAAGCAGGCTTGTACCTCTTCACAGATGTGTAGTTAATTGCAAAGAAAATGCAGAATGACTAAAGATGAAAAATTAGGAGCAGTATTTGAGAAGAAAAAAAAATTCTCCAACGATGGCCGGCCGACCAGCGTTGGAAAAATATAAGTTTTCTTGAAAACATCACCACACAAGGAGCCACGATTTTTCAGGTTGCTTTAGATTGTCATTTTACTAACAGTCCTAAGATATTTTGTTACAATTTGATCATTTCGTTTTTTGATGTTTGCAAATGATGTATCTTCCCTTTAATTTTTTTTTATTGAGGGTATAAAAGATATGAGTTGGCCATTATGTGAATAATAAGGAGTAATGGTCTTGTCTAAGATGTCCCATTCACTTCCTGCTCGTAGCCAAAGAAGCTGTCATCGCGATTGGTATCAGCAAAGAGACGGATTTAGATGCAGAGGATGTGGAGGATGATGAGGTGGACAAATCCTCCAAGAGGAAGAGCGACGCGGTGGTCTACTTCAGTGACGATGGAAGCATCTCTAGCCCGGCAAACAGCTCCAAGGAGTTTGTGCAGACTTTTGGCCAGGGTAGGTACTATATAGGGTGTATCAAAAAAATGCAAACAAGATATAACGGTAACCAACAAGAGACATCAAATGAGACATCAAACGTCCGAATCAGATCAGTTTTGACCAAAGAGCTATATTAAATTACTAGAGCGCTAACTCTTCATTCTTGCGCGCGGAGCTGGGAGACGCTTTGAAGCTGCTGTGGGCGCAGATATTTTGAATTAATGTGCTTGTTTGTAGAACACAATCAAAATAGATGGATTGAATTTTGAAAGTGTACTCTAAATGCAACGCGCAAGTAGAAGATACGCAAACAACTTAAGCGCGTCATGACGGTTCAAAAAAACGTCACGGCGAAAAGCATCTGCAGCGGAGGGACGCGTACAAGATGCGCTGTTTGCGTAAAGCAAAATGAAACGCTCATTTGCTGATCATACGTTTCGGTTTTGGGCGTATCGGCATCGATAACACACCGGTATGGAATACAAACGCAGATATGCAAAAAGCCGTACAAAAGCCGTACACAATTTCTAGGTCTCCATAGGTTTGTGCACAAACATGGATGCGCCCATCAGGCATTACTTTGAACATCGAGTTAGGGCTCTAGTAATTTAATATATAGCTCTATGGTTTTGACAGAAATATGAGTAATTTCCCAAGAGAGGGCAAATTGACCATTGGACCAAGTTTTCAATTTTAGGCATTGGGGCAAAGGTAGCCTAATGGACCAGTCGGGATTTGGTCGTAAGCCCCGCCACCTTACCAACGGCTTTATGACAACGCCATCAGCTCGGTCAAAGTAAACAAACGTGTGTATGTTACTACTGTGTGTGGCGGGGAAGTTAAAGAGGTTGTGGAATGCTTAAAGACATTTCCGTCATTTTTTTGGGTATATATTTGGGCAATTTGTGCAAGAGTCGTCATTGGGGCAGCAAACAAAACATAGTAAATCGTGACGTAATAAACAGGACTCGTTTATACTATGCTGCATCAGGAGTCCTGTTTGTTACCGGTATGTCACGATTGACTTATGTTTTGTTTGCTGCCCCCAAATTGCACGTTGGGGTAGAAACAGGACCTGAAAAACAGCTCTCAGAAGTACCTTTTGTACTCATTTCATGACAGACACAATAGTCGTTTTTATTTCATCACACCTTAGGCTACATATACCCGAAAAATGACAGAAATGTCTTTGAGCATTCCACAGCCTCTTTAAACAGTACAACTTCTTGAAATTCAAGAATGGGTATGTACACAAAGTTGCATTTGAATTCAGCGTCCGAGACACGTTCTCACTGAGCCGATTGCAGCTACGCGATGTCACGCACTGATCCGACGAATTGTAGCAACTGCACACGCGTGTCAACGGTGCTTCTTAAGACACACCGTTGAAAAGGCTTTCTTTCGTTGATTTGTTCAAAATGACAGCTTGCCAGAAAGAATAATTTCACAGGGAGTTTAGTCCCCATCTTTCAATCAGGTATGTTTTTCAACAATAATTACGCCAGTTACTTTTTGGATAGCTGCAAATGATGGACTCTGGCCTTAAATAGACCAGGCTTAGCCTAGGCCCCTTGGGATTTGGAATAACTGCACATTTTCTCCCCATTTTTAGGTGATGTTGTGGGTCTGTACATTGACTACCACTCCAAGCACAAGTCCTTAGTTTGCGTCTCAAAGAACGACCAGCTTGTCCACCGCCGGTGGCTGGCCCTGAAGGAGGAGTTCCTGCTACCCACCATCAACGTCTGGTGGGGGACGGCCGAGCTGCATGTGGATTGGCTCAGCTCCTCACCACCAATATCCTCACTGGTAAAGTTACAGAAAGGGAGAATTAACTATTAAAAACTGAAAGTCCTAATGCAATTTCTTGCGAACTTCCTCCCAACATTGTCACACTGTACCTCCGTCAGAATGCAGTTTCCTAGCTTGCTGCTCCCATTACACTTTGTCGATCAATACCAGTTTTGTCACCGTACTCAAATTTTGCTGCCCTGTCATATTTTACATCATTTTACAGGGTTCGACCTTAACTTTTTTGTTCAGTAGCCAGCCAGGCTACTGAAACAGACTTTTAACTAGCCCGCCGGCATTTTCACTAGCCCATTTTTTAAATTTTGTTTTTCTCAAATAAAAAATGGCATATGTTCAGGCTCAATTCTGAGGCATTTTTGTCAGTGTTTTTAATAATCAGATCTAATAATTTAACATTTTAAAACAGTTGGTAAAATTTGACTCAAATTGATGAGGTTTTCTTTCTGAATTTCATGATTTATTTCTTCCTGTCCTTTCATCTTTGCCGTATCCCAATAATTTTGTGACTCGCCAGCCAGGCTACTTAATGAATAGTTTGACTAGCCCGCCACAGTTTTGACTAGCATTTGGCTAGCGGGCTACCGCTAATTTCGAACCCAGCATCAAAAATGAAGACTACCATATATAGTGGAAGTGTGATTCTTAAAAAAATAATGTCAAAGACTTGAACAACATTCATAGACATGCAGAAATGCAACTGCCAATTTATTATGAAGTAGCCTATTGATCGTAAGTAAATAATAGAATCAAGCGTCCTGTGATATCAGTGCTTCTGGTGTTTTGTCAGTTAAAGAAAATCTATACTAACGATGGTTTGTAGCTATAGTAAAAGCTCTTGATCATAACATTGACTTTTTCCTTCTGTGCTGCCATGCAAAGGCCAAAAAAACAATTCTGCTTCCGGTTACCCTTTTTGGGGGGAAAATGAGGAAAAAAACCCAAAATCATCAATTACTACCTTTTTACCAATGACTACATACAGACACCTCCATATGATCGTACACACAAAAAAAATAGCCAAAATAAAAATCCCTACCTACCTACCCAATTTTCAAATGCCATGTAATCGGAAGCAGAACTATTTTTTTTGGCTTAAACTTTGCTGAAGAACACTGCCGAAAGCAATCCACAAAAATGGCCGAATAAGAAAAAGCAATATTGCAGATACATGTGTTAGGAAATGCTTAGCTGGGATCTTAACACTCTATATCAGAAACTAAATCAAGAAGGGTTGATTTGGAAGAAGACTTACACATGCAGGAGGTTATCAACATTATTTTCATGGATTTTTGTTGTGTATCTTTTAGGATAACCTATCGGACTGGAACATGCCTGATACAGTCACGGCAAACGACAACCTGCTGAGCCTACGGACGTCATCCAAAGTGGCTGCCATCCAAGCACCATACCCTCTTCATAAAAGTAAATCAAAAGTTGCTAGTTAAAATTGGCAATTTACTTTGCACATGTATATTCTACACAGTAAAGCTATTAACCGCTTGAGCGTAGAAACCGCTGAGCTGAGTACTTTTCCCCTAAATGCCGCGCGATAAACCTGCATTCTGTTCAATCAGTGCATTGGTGGTTATGATGCTATGGAGCTGGCCTTGACGTTACCCTGCAAACCTTTCAGTAATTTGCATAAATTAGCATAATCCTGTACGTTTTTCTGCCCGTAGGTAAATATTTACTGCCGCGCAAAATACTGCTGTTTGTTTCCGCTTTCCTTTACCGCACTTTTGTGTAGATATGCATGTATACTGAAATCAACCCCCACGTTGGTAATGGTATGATCCTTTTGTACAGGCTCAACCCAGTACGTGGAAATGACCATTGTGTCGATGGGGGAGGAGGCTGCAATAGGCCCCGTGATTGGTCTGACATCAGCCCTGCTGGATGATAACAGGCTTCCAGGGACGATGATGGAGGCAGTTGGATATAGCGGAGTGGACGGGACAATTTACTTTGAAACTCCTGAAAATGGTATTTAAACCATCTATTTTTTTGGTGTTTTTTTCACTTCTTACTTGAAATGCACCGGTACCATTTTGTATTTATTTATAATACCAACTATGTATTTAGGGTCATGCTCAAAAGTGAAAATATTTGTGGAATATGTCTCTCTCATATGACGTCACTTCCTACAGATCGTCACGTGCATCGGCATATTGGGCGTCAAACTTGCGTGATGCGCATCGGCATGCACCTTATTTCGAAGAAATTTTGAGCAACACCACATGTTTAGAACATTTGGCACACTGCGGGCACACGCACCTGATGGCATTGAATACGCAGTTGTAATTTTCCTACAAAAATGACGTCCTATGAGAAAGATCTATTGTGTCGTGTATGTTGTAGTATGGTACCAACAGCAACATCACTTGGGATAGCATCTGTTGCAAAGTTAAGAGTCTAGATGCTTATCTTTGGGTACTACTTTCTCAACCCGGTCATGCAAATATTTACTATTACTTCCAACTCTTTGGATTATGTGCACATGTGCACAGGTGAATACGCCTCTACAAGGTTATCAGGAAATAGATATATGGATTTTACTCAAAAACAAAACCTAGGAATTTCCAAGTTGTGTGGATCCATTGTAAATTGAAGTATTTTATGTAAGGAATATTAAGTCAGAATTTCAGCCCAGGAAATGAATTCTGGTTAAAATAGGAGCATTTTGAAAGTACACTTTCAAAGTCAAAAACTTTGGTACACGACAACAAAGAAATGACTCCACAAGGATACAAATTCCAGTATGTGTGCACATGTATGTGTGAGGTGTAATAAAAATCGACAAATTGTTTTGTGTCTGTAAATCGACAATTGTCTAATATTTTGTAACAGCCACCCAACTGGGTGAGAATTGCAAGTGCAGTGCGGGGGACACCATGGGCTGTGGCCTGGTGTTTGTGGACACTGTCGTCGCTAACCCACGCTTGCCGGCCAACGTCATCGTCTACTTCACCAAGAACGGTCAGGTGGTCAACCAGCGCTCTCTGGATCAACCAATGGGAGGCTTCTATCCTACGATTGGTCTAGCGTGTCAAGGTACGAAAATGGATGAAACCGTTCTCCCTGCTGATTGTCGAATCATGTAATTTGTGTCCTTTCAAGTTAAAGGGAATATACATCATTTGCTTTTGCTGTAATTTTCAGAAATGGATGGAATTGGGGGGTTGGAAATATATAACAAATATAGTTACACTGTTTTTTTTTGAGGTTTTGGGTTCGAAAATGCTATAAAAACCAAGAAAAACGATCATTTTCCTGTAGTCTGGTTCCCTGACTCCATATAAGAAAAAAACAGAGCAGTTTACATACATTGAGGAATTGTAAGGTCAGGGAACCAGTCTAGCTGGCTCGTACCCGTTCATAGGTTTGTTATCGATTGCAAACAAGTGCGATGGTCAATTGGGGCCAGTATTTGAAAAAAAAAGCCAGTTGTTTCCAATGCTGATCGGCCGATCAGCGTTGGAAATTGATACAAAAATACCACTTTTCTTGAAAATGACAGTATACCAGGTGCCATGATTTTACAGGATGCTTTACACTGTCATTCACTAACAGTCCAGCAAGGTATTTCAAAATGATTTGGTAGTTTTATTTTTTGATGTTTGCAATTGTTGTATTTTCCCTTTAAAGGTAGGGTAGATCATTTGCAGCTATCCAAAAAGTAACCGATCAAATTATTGTTAAAACGCTTACTTGGTTTGAAGATAGTACTGACACTAAACCTCAGGTGAAATTATTCCTTCTGGCATGCTGTCATTTTGAAGAAAACAACAAAAGCAGGTCATTTTCCAAAGATGTGTCAAGTGCCACATTTTTGGAAATTTCCGTGAGAACTTCCAAATGCGTTCTACTTTGTTGTCGGTTTTCAATTGGGCGAATCCGTGAATGGGTGACAACCGGGTGAATGAGAATCTTGTCCCGAATGCTGATTTCGGGATTGTGTCACGAGACGGCGCATTTCAAAATATGACTCTGCAACTTTGGAATTGAAATCCAGATCCAGAATAGTGTGTATACGTTTGTTCTGTTTTCTCGAAATATACAGCATTCACAGAGCTAAAACTTCATCAGGTTAGTTATTAACCAGTTCGCGCTTGATGACGCGTATACCCACAATGCTTTTGCGGTATTCTGAACGGAGCGAGGCCGGAAATATCTACCAGCGACCCGCTCGCAGCTTAATCCTGCGCCTCATTCCGTTCTTGTCAAAGTAGTCCCAGCGTGAACTGTTTAGGCAGCCGTGTTCAGATTTTGAGCACTTTTGTTGGTTCAAGTGAAAAAAAAAATTCACAAATTACAAATGGTCTCATCATCATCATCTAGCATTCGCTACCGAGATCTCTTTTACAACGCCACGCCAGGTGTCTTTATCTCTCATGTACGAAAGGTCTTCAATTTCACATTGGGTGTCTCTGCCAATCACATCAATGTAGTTGAAGGGTCTTCGTCCTCTATTAGGGCATGAAAGTCTCCAACATAATACATTAGATATGGCCTGGTTTACAGCACAGTAGCAGAGGCCAGCAAAGCAAAGCGAACTCGTTGTTGAGCAACAATAGCAGAGATAGGTGGAATGTCTCCGTAAATCTGATCTACTCTACCTTTAAAGCCACAGTCCATCATTTGCAGCTATCCCAAAAGTAACTGGCGTCATTATTGTTGAAAAACGAACGTTGTTGAAAGATAGTAAGGGGACTAAACTCCCTGTGTAATTATTCTTTCTGGCAAGCTGTCATTTTGAAGAGATCAACGAAAGAAGGCCTTTCCAACGGTGCGTCTTAAGATTAGCACTGTTGGAAATTTCCGTTAGTAGTTCGTTTTTTTATTCGGCGAAGCGCGCGCAAGCCTTGACACGACGCACATGCGTGTGCAGTTGCTATAATTCGTCGGATCGGTGCGGGACATCGCGTAGCTGCAATCGGCTCAGTGAGAATGTGTCTCGGACACTGAATTCAGGCCCGATTCAAAACATGATTCAGCAACTTTTGATTTGAAATCAAGATCCTAGAATGTTGTTTTTCTCGAAATATTCCAGCCGAAGCTGAGCTGAAACTTCATCAGGTTAGTTGTTCAGCACCCTTCTTGAGATTTTGAGCACTTTTGTTGCTTCAGACGAACAAAATGCACAAATTACAAATGATGGACTATACCCTTAAAACAGTAGTTTGTTTTCTCATGCAGGTTGCACTGTCAAAGTGAACACTGAGTGTCCAACACCGTCCGCTCTCGACATTGATGCGTGGAGGGCCGAAGCAATCAAGAAGACCATGACGTTTGGTGGATTTGGTCCATTAGGTACGTTAAACACGGTCACATTGCGATGTGTTCTGGGCATGTCATTGAAGATTGGCTTGTTACATGTTAAATTTAGATTTTCCTTGTTTATGTCGACAACTTGAGTTTTCATGAGATGGACTTCTATTTGGCATAATTTTGGCAGAATTTTGTTCTTGATGGCGCAAACGTGAAATCAGAGAGATTGGCTCTTAAAGGGAAGATACAACATTTGCAAACATCAAAAAACGAAATGATCAAATTATCACGAAATACCTTACTGAATTGTTAGGGATTGACAATCTAAAAGCATCCTGTAAAATCGTGGCTCCTGGTCTGTTGACATTTTCAAGAAAAACTGTATTTTTCCAACGCTTGTCGGCCGACCAGCATTGGAAAAAAACTGGCTTATTTTCAGAAACTGCTCCTATTTTTCATATTTAGTTATTCCGCATTTTGCAATAGATTACACACTTGTGAAGGGGTACAAACCTGCTAAAGTGATTCTTTGACCTTACAATTCCCCAAAGTCTTTACCTTTCTCCGTTTCATCTTAAGTGGGGTCGGGGAACCAGACTACAAGAAAATGATTGGTTTTTCTTTCTTTTTTCCCAGCATAAACAAGCTCAAAACGTGAGACAAGTCAGTTAAACAACATTTGCTATAACATACTAAAACTCCAAATCCATTTTTTTCTGAAAATTGCAGCAAAAGCAAATCTTGTACATTACCTTTAGAATTCAAGTAGCTGTAGCATTTCCTGAACAGGTCTATCTCTACAAATATCCGAAAGACCACCTTTATTGGCAGAACTATGTCTTGAAACTTTAAGAGTATGTTCGGATTAAGTACAAACAAAAGAGGTACAATGGGGGGTTCATGATTGAAGCTGTTTACATGCTCACGTGTGAACCTGGGGCTGGTTTGAAGCACTAGGATGTTTTTAAAAATTGCACAAATCTTAACGGCCAATACATCATACTGAAAGGAAAATCATTGTGGAGTGCTGTGGCTCTATGGTTAAGGGCATTGGATTCCTGGTCTGCGGGTAAAGCTGCAGGTTGTGGGTTCGAGTCCAGCCTGGGGTCATGGTGTGTGTGGGCAGGCACTTTGTCACTCATTGCTTCTCTCACCCAGGAGTAAATGGGTACCTGTGAGGGCAGAGATGGTTATGTGATTGAATTAGCTTGCTCGTGCCTAACAGGCTGCATCGAGCGGTATACTCCCCAGGGAGCTGAGATGGTATTTGGAATGTTTCATGCAAGCAAACAGAAAACCTCATCCCCCCTTCCAGGAAAAACACACATGGTAGAAATTTGTGTAATTCTCACTCCATCTCATTGCTACCCTGTAAGACCAATCGATTCAGAAAGAGCCCGATTCCACACTACATTGACTTATTAAATTCTTGATTTTCATAATACATGTACGTCTGGGTCTGCTGTGCGCTTCACGCAATATCATGTTATGTCTGTATGGGTCTATATTGTGTACTTAGTGCAAAAACTTATTCCTTATTCCTGATGGCTGTGCCATCTTTTAAGGTCAATTTTATCAATTAATCTAATTAAATCCAGTGTATGCATTTTGTTTTCATTTTATTTTGTTATTTTGGCTGGACCATTACTTTTCCATATTTTTCTTTTTCATTTGGACTATAATTGTTATGTATTTTGCAATGTATTTTATACTGTAACATTCTTGCAATTTGGCCTGGGGGCCACCAGTTGTATGAAAATAAACCAATATAAATAAATACATAAATGGGCCCAATGAGCAGGGGTAATAATGATGTAGCGCCTTGAGCACCAGTCCTGGTGGATACGTGGGCTTTATAAATACCCACTATTATCATTATTATCAAATCCTGATACTGGCACCCCCAATGGAATAAAGACATTGATTTTTAGCACACTCTACCCTTTTGATGCAGGTCCCCAACAATCCCATGGTCCGAAGCACATAGAGGGACAGAAATCGGGTCACTACCGCTTCAATGAGCTGCTAGGAGTCCCCACCAACGACGTGATCAGGCTGAAGGAGAACACTCACAAAAAGCAGCTGATACAGCTGTTGAAAACGATGACGCCCGAGCAGCCATACTTCACAGTGACCATCACAGAGGACGGTAAGCAGGAGAAGCAAACTCCCTTAGCATAAAATGTTGCCAACTTTAACCCTAACTCCCTAGGCCTTTTTCACGAGGATGTAGCCTCAATCCTGCAAAATCTTCCAATTGGCCTCATGGAAAAATAGCATATAGCCTCAATCCTGCAAATTCCTCCTTTATTTCTTGAACATGGTCCGTGGAGGGGTGACCACAGCCTGAATCCTGCAAAATCCTGCCGCAGAAAATGTCAATATTTTGAGGCCTGGCCAGGGACATCCTGGAGCAGTACGGAGCATTTCAAGCTTAATCCAGGCCTATATTTATGCATGGCTGAGCAAAACCAACACAATTAAGGTCCGGCCCCAAGACCTTGACAAACTGCATCCTACAAAATCAGTAACACACTTTTGCCACGTAACATCAATCCTCCAAATTCCTCCACTTTGGCAAAGAGGATTTTGAAGGATTCAGGGTGGTTAGGGTTAAAGGCATCTAGGAGCATTTACAGTAACCCGGAAACGTACCTACCGATTTGACGAGAAAATCCTTGCTCAAAGCGACTGGTACCCAATACCCTGTGAAACTATTTTGCTTGAAATTATTTTGCTTGAAATTGTATCATGAGGAGAAAACAATCAGTTTAAAAAGATGTGTCTGTGGGCACCTTTAACCAGTTCAGGTCGGATACACGCAAAGATTTTGGGGTTTTCAGAACGGATGACGGATAAACACGCCTCAAGCGAGGCCGGAAATATCTGTAAGCGACCCGCTCGCAGTGAGCGAGGCTGGAAATATACCAGTTCAGGTCGGATACACGCAAAGGTTTTGTGGTATTCGGAACGGATGACGGATAAACACGCCTCAAGCGAGGCCGGAAATATCTGTAAGCAACCCGCTCGCAGCGAGCAAGGCTGGAAATATCAGGGTGTGCTTACCGCAGGTGCAGCCTGAACCTGTCTGGTATTGAAACAATACAAGCCCGCAACTGGGTCAGTTTGATGTCAAAACAATCCCGGAGTGAACTGGTTAAACACCCTGGCTCTAAAGGGCCTGTCACACTGTCACGTTCTGGCATGGAGTTTGTACCGTGACCACGTAAAGACTGCCACGTAAAGACTCTGTGCGAACTCCTTGCGAATTGCCGTGACGCACTGGCAACGTCCAGGCCGACGTCGACGTCGTGAGAACTTCATGAACGTGCATGCATCAGGTCTGTGCGTCTCCTCTGCGTTTCCTGCGTCTATGCCGTTAAAAATGTGAAGACTCATGATGAATATCGCCCATTTTGGCCCAAGTATACACGCTGCGCTTCTTGCTGCTGAAGTCACGCATACCTTTTAAGGTCGCATCAAGCGCACGATAAGGACTCCACGACATTGTACGAACTTATTGGACACCACGAGGACGCAGCGAGCGCAAAGGACGCGGCGCAAACTTCTAATTGGTCTTCAATGAAACTCAGAGAGAACGCCGCAAGGACACTATAGAACGCCACAGGGATGTCTTAGATTTTCGGTGGACTTCACAGAGACACATTGCAAGCCACTGGTCTTGTGTTTTCATGGCGTTTTGTTACATTTTTAAGAATCTCAACAACGCAATATGTACGCCATGAATGGACGTGACAGTGTGACAGGCCCTTAAAGTAAACCATAGAGTGTCATCTACTGTTCCTGAAAAAAAACTTGTTATATCTTCCGCCCTGATTTTTTGTAACAGATCCTGATGGTAGAGTAGTGATGGGCATAAGTCGGGATGGACAGAGTGTTGGCGACATGCCAGGGGGTCTGGTGGATTCGGTCGGTTACTCCTGCGAGGGTCAAATCTGCAACGGCGTAGATTACTTCAAGACTGACAAATATACCAAAGGTAAAAATTGAGCCCTATTCCTCAGCAGTTGTTGTTGCGGTAGTTCTGTATCTTAAACCCTAACTCCGTAGCATGATTTACTAGGAACCATACCCATCCTGGCAAATTCCAAAACCATCCGAGAAATTGCACACACATATTTCTGACGTAATTCTGGAGGTGTGCCAAGCCAATGTAAAAGACTGTCAGTTTTAGGGGTACTGTACCCATCCTGACAGATTCCAACACAACATGCCGTTGGTGTTTGATGGGTTGAGTTCTCCTGTGGTTAGTACTGTGCTAGCATTCTCCTGTTAGTCAGTTTTTGTTGGCAATGTAATAAATTGCTTAAGAAATCTCAGAGAGAACGTGTGTTGTTAGGAAAGATTTACATATGTATACAGGCATCTACCTTTCCTTGGATCAGCTGATTTCCTCTTTTTTCACTTCCAATGTGTGCCATTGAAAATAGAAAAACACTGTACAAAGTCTGGGAAAGATTTGAATTTCCTCTTTTTTTGTGACTTCCCAGTTGCATGCCTGTGTATATGTGAAGCACACTCGTTTGAAATATCCTCATGAAAAAATACACATCATGAAAGGTTCTCCGAACGTGTTGTAAAGAAAATACACAGTTAGATATGCATAGCACCTTTGGCTTCGCCTCAAGTGCTATGCGCCCCTCGGCTTTGCCTCAGGTGCTATGCACACCTCGGTTTCGCCTCGGGTGCTATGCGCCCCTCGGTGGTTAAAAACGTCATATCCCACACCACAGCAGCCAACAATTTTTAATTGTATGTGAAACTAAACTTAGGACATCAGTCTCCATGTAATGTTATAAGGCTGACGTGTACAGATTTTGATTGGAAGAGAATGGGGTATAATCCTCCTAAATGCTTCAGTATCAAGGAAGGATTTGGGAGAAGATTTGAAGTTTTGCATGGTAAAGATATATGTATTAAGAAATCATTTTTTGTGAGTTTAATTGTGAGTTTCCCCGGTACATTTCAGAGCCTCACAAACTCTTACATGTTGCACCGCAAATTTTATCTTAATTTAGGATTTAGAAAGGAACATGTTAGTCACCATGTTGCTTGATGTCCCTTAAATTCAAAGATTGTCTCGTTGGTTTCTTACATATCATTGTTTTTGGAAGATTGAGAAAGGTTCGTGATAGCTACAAATGCCCAGGGGATTATAGTTTTTTTTTTCATTTCTTTTCATTTGAATGAATGTTTATCCACTGCATTGGTTTCCTTACTTCAGGTGATGTAGTTGGATGCTACGTGGAGTACTTCAGCGAATCAGTCAAGATTGTGCAATTTGTCAAGAACGGTCAGTTGGTGGGTCTGACCTCACTGACCGGTGGGAGTCGGGACCTGTACCCTAGCCTAGGGTTTGTGGGAGAACCCTGCGCCGTGAAGGTCACGTGGCCTGAATCTAGACCCAGCCCGCCTGCGACGTTTTCCAAGGTATGTGAAGCAAAGCATATGGTCTATTTACATGGGAACAGGGTGATTAAAAGATAATGTGAAAAGCTGCATATCGCATTGGCCGATTTATGAAAAGGTAACACTAGACTTGTAAAAAACAAGAAGGAAATGTAACTATTATGTAAAATGGCAAAAATGATGTACATTTATGTAAATTTGTGGAAGTTTTGCAGGGTCAACATCGTGACAAAGCTGAATGATGTCACAACCACCTTTGTTCTGATTGGTCAAAATACAGGTGTAGCGTGCTGTGCTTTGCAAAAGTCACTCTTATTGGTTTGTCTCTCTACGCACTCTTTTATCTTTATGTGCACGTAACCCATTTCTTTTTGGAAGAAGGTCTTAAGCATTAACGATATTACAATGTACATGAGAGTGTATTTCCCCGGTTCTTTTCAGAACCATTCTCTTAGTTTGAGATATTATTCCAACCGGGTGTTTTTGCAAACCTTTCATTCGTTAGTGTCTCCACCATGCAAAGCCTCAAATCTTTCTCAATGTACATAGGGTCTGCCATAGCATTGTTTGCATGTAGGTTGCAAGTGTTTCATGTGGGTTGGGCCTCTGAAAATATTAGCGTTTAGCTTCAAACGCATGCAGGGTTGTAATAAAGTCAATCACAAGTATGGTCACAAGTCCATCACAAATCTGCAGCAGATTGCACGAAACTTTACATAATGGCATAAGTCCACTTGCACAGCACAATTTATTGTGCAAATTGCGTAACATTTCAGTTATGACAATTTCATGAAACTTTCATGATAGTGTGTAAGTGCAGACTTACACACTATCATGAAAGTGCAACAAATCATGGCGTAACTTGCGCAATCATTTTAGGTGGCATAATTAGTGGTGTAGCGACTGAAAATGACCTATTTTATCGGCAATCCTGATCGTGGTGGAGCCTGCTATATTGCACAACTTTTCAAGGTTGATACAAGACGCTCACAGCTTGTGTTTGAAGTAAAAGAATTTCTATTTTTCTTGTGACAGAGTTTTTAGAGTTGCCGCATGATTCTGAAGAAAGCCAGAAAAGAAACTGTTTTCAAATTGGCGGTTGGAGGTGATTCAACGACTGTTTCAAGAACGAACAAAATCATACACAAACAGCCATTGTAAATGCTATTAGTCTTCTAGTCCAAGATGTTCAGATTATTTAAGACCCTTCGGAGCTATGCCAAGTTTTGTGCATAAGTTTATCGCGCAGCTGCGCAATAAATTTGTTGCATAAGGAATACCTTTGTCTCCACGAATTCGAGAAACAAAGAAAAAAAATTCTTTTGATGGGAGAAGATGATTTAGGATGAATTAATCCCAACACCAAATGCAGTTTTGATTCTTTTAACATTCGAAAATGTGACAGGACAAGCTGTCCAGTTGGATGAAGTGTACTGGGCTTTGCATCCGTGACTCCAGACTCAGTGTACTGAAGAAGATGAGAAGGTTACGAGCCATGTGTTTGCGATCACCCCAACCTCTTACCAGGGGTAAGTATGAGCGTGGAGAAGTTTATTCAGGTATTATCCCTAACCTAATTAACAGGTTTTCTCTAGGCACCCTGCCAAATGCAACAACATGCAAGCTGGCTGAAATCCAACCCTGCCAAATGCAACAACATGCAAGCTGGCTGAAATCCAACCCTGCCAAATGCAACAACATGCAAGCTGGCTGAAATCCAACCCTGCCAAATGCAACAACATGCAAGCTGGCTGAAATCCAACCCTGCCAAATGCAACAACATGCAAGCTGGCTGAAATCCAACCCTGCCAAATGCAACAACATGCAAGCTGGCTGAAATCCAACCCTGCCAAATGCAACAACATGCAAGCTGGCTGAAATCCAACCCTGCCAAATGCAACAACATGCAAGCTGGCTGAAATCCAACCCTGCTAAATGCAACAACATGCAAGCTGGCTGAAATCCAACCCTGCCAAATGCAACAACATGCAAGCTGGCTGAAATCCAACCCTGCCAAATGCAACAACATGCAAGCTGGCTGAAATCCAACCCTGCCAAATGCAACAACATGCAAGCTGGCTGAAATCCAACCCTGCTAAATGCAACAAATTGCAACAGTGGGTTCTGGTGCATTGTGCAGTGAACCCAGTACCATACCAGCCTTGGCACCAAGCAGTTACCCTGCCAAATGCAACCAAATGCAACAGTGGATGTTGTTGTATCACTTTGGCACTATGAGCAGAAAGTTACCCCTGCTAAATGCAACAATGTACAGGGTTTTGAGTTGCCTGTTAAATACAACAGTATGCAACAACTGTTTACCTTTGTAGCTTTGTTGCATAATTAGCAGGGTTAGAGTTAAGGAAAGTGAAGCAAGGGCTTTCAGAAGTCATCTGCACTTCACATACAGCCCCACAAAGTTTACAAAACCACTTTTGCCCATAGAGTTGGCGCTCACACCTCAAATTCCGATGATGAAATCTGTTGATTATGCCTAACACTTTCAAATTCATACACAGTTCTTTTGTTGGATTTAGCAGGCAGAAGCAGTCATGCTTCACTGCTCTCCACAGTGCTGTTTTTGTGCAGTGCCTCTCTGTGTGACACAGTTACTTTAACACATATCCCTTCCTCTGAAACAGACATGCAGGGTTTTAAAGGGTTTCTCATATTTGTCTGAATATCAACTTCCCACAAGGAGGGTTAATTTTAAATGACCACACTGGGTTATACAGGCATGCAACTTTTCCTCGGATCCGCTGATTTCCTCGTTTTTAACTTCTCGTGAATGCCATTACAAATTGTACAAAGTCTTGTGTGATTTGGAGTTTCCTCGTTTTTTGTTCTCTAAATTCCCAGTTGCATACCTATGTATACAACATTCTTGCCATTAAGTTGGTTTAATTTACTTGTGATTTCTCTTTGCAGCCTGGAGCTATTTTGAAGTGGTTGTCCACTCCAAGTTATTGTCCACTCCGACCCAGAAGGTCAGCAAAGCCCCGGTCATCGGACTGACCAACGACATGGGCATCAAACCGTTCAAGAAACTGACCCACGACGAGGCCACCAGGGACATCCGATACTACTGCAACAGCAATAGTATCGGCTTCAAAGACGCCCTGTCTCACAATAGTAAGTACTCCAAAAAAACGTTCATGTCAATTTGTCACAGGTTGTTGAAAGATCTGTTGATTTTGTTGGGAATCTAGTACTGTACCCAGTTCCCACAGAATGGTCTTGGGGAGTTTTTAACCGATTCATAATTCATACCCATTACAAAGAGGGGAAGTGTGGCCTAGCGGTTAGGGTTTCGTGACTCATGATCAGAGGGTCAGGGGTTCGAATCCAGCCGTTGGTCATATGTTGTGTCCTTGGGCGAGCCACTTCATCTCCACTTGCCTCTCTCTACCCATGAGTATGCATGGGTACCGGCATTAGCTGGGGAGTAACCTGCGATGGACTGTTATCCCATCCAGGGGGAACAGAAATATTCTCAAGTCGTTTCATGCCACTGAAACCGGAGATAAATGCTGGCCTGATGGGCCATATTGGCTCGGGACAGACTTTACTTTAGTTTACAAAGAGCATCCTCATCTTGTGAGATTAAACGTTCTGACATCCCAACAAATAAAGACATTAATTTCCGTTGTGCAAGATGTATTTAAAATCTTTTGAAATTGAAAAGTGGGTCTGCGATTGCATACACAATGCTGTGCAAGAGTTTACCTGTGCAGACTTCTTTTGACCACAGAGATTTCATTGGCAAGTCCAAATCTGATACAGCACTTATTCAGTAACTAATATTGGAAGCCATTCTTAAGGTGGCAAATTGCTCAGAGGTCCATCGACCAATAAGATTTTCAAGTACCCGCTGCTATGTACATTAGATTCGAACCGGCCAACCGATCCCATTAGCTCGGTGGTCGAGTGGTAAGACATCTGCACTAGAAAGCAGGAGGTCGTGGGTTCGAGTCCCACCCGAGTGATTTTGTCCACCTTTCACTCGGGAGGTAACACACTGAGTATACAGTGTTAATATGTCGATGAAGGGCAAAACCTAATTTGATTTAAGATTTTCAAAGTCCACCTCAAATTAAGAATGCATGGTGTGATGCACAGAAGTGTGGCAACAATTCAGGGGATTCACATTGCAGTGTGCCACCAAGAGTTTGCCATGGAGAGTCCATTTTTCAAGTTTACAGTCGACAAAACTTGGCCCATTTGAATGAGTGTCAGTAGACAACTTGAGCTAATTTGTTATAGATTGGGGCATAGCGTTCTGCCGCCTTAATACTAAAAACGCCATATTGATCAAAAGAAAAGAAAAGGGCAAACAGATACTCGAATCATATGCTTACAAAACTACTGACCAAACTACTGACCGGAAAAAATGAACAATTTCAAATGTCCCGCGCTGCGAATGTGTCGACCACCCCCCACAATGAACTGGGAAAAAAAAAGACTCCGTGGCAAACTCCTGCATTGTGAGTTGCCCAAATTCAGTGATGGTGATCGGCAGATAAGTTTATGCAGTGCTTACAAAACGTACAGCAATTTAGTGATGGTAACTGAAAAACCCAATATTGAAATCATACTCATCTCCCACTCAAAATTCAATCTCATTTTAATCTTCATTTTGACCCAGTGCTGTCCCAGAAGCAGTACCTTGAGAGTGGGGACCGTCTGGGCTTCGGTATCGTCTACCCGTCCGTGAAGAACCAACCAAACGATCGCGCCCAACAAGTCGTGGTGGTCTACTGCGCTATCAACGGCATTGTCATCCACCACCAGGCCATGCAGCAACCCGCGGGGGGATTCTATCCCATCATCTCACTCTACAAGTATGGTGAGTACTGAATAAAAAAAAAAGGTTAAGGGGACGAACCTGCATGTGTTCACAGGAGCAGAGTGCCTATCTCTCTTTAGTTAGCGATTGTGCCAGACTCATATGCTGCTGTGGGGGGATCGCCACACCTCCTTCACAGCGAGTCTGTTACCTTCCCAGCATTGAATAATACCCATTTAACACCTGGGTTGAGAGGAGTAATTGAGGTAAAGCGCCTTACTCAAGGGCACAACACGCATGGCCACGGTGGGGCTCGAACCCACAACCTCACGATCATGAATCCTGTGCTCTACCATTGGACCACATGTGCCCGCTATACCGAGAGCTAAATGGGCCTGTTATTACTTACCATCAAGAGGGTAGTTTCACATCTGCACGGATACATGTACGTGTACACATATGTATAGCTATCAGTAACGGTTATTGAACATTCTGTTGTTCCACATTGTGTACGCGTGGAGTGCCCTGGCCTAGTGGTCTGGAGCATCGAATTTGTGGTCTGCGGGTAATCCTTCAGGTTGTGGGTCGAGTCCAGGGTAATGGTGCTTGTACCCTTGAGCAGACGCTTTGTCACTCATTGCTTCTCTCCACCCTGGAGTAAATGGGTACCTGTGTGGGCAGTGTTCGTGACTGTGAGAGGTTGATTACGGCCAAGAGTGCCGAAATGGCTGCCTACTGGCCGTGCATGCTCCCTAGACATCTAATCGGAAGCTTCTAATCGGTATTTGGAAAGACAAAGATTTCGACATTTCTATTCTCCTTCTTGCAGGAAGTGAGGTTGACATCATAAACAGCTGCAGCCCGCCCTCTATGGGTGACATAAGCAACTGGCTAGCAGATGCCGAGCATCTCGGGAAGGCGATTACCCAGGCCAAGAAAGACGCAGGTAAAGCTCTCAGTTAGTGTTGGAAGTCAGGTCCTCATAACTCATCACATGTCAAACCTATGACCTCTACGCTAACCAGACAGTTTCATGAAACAATGTGTAACTTACGCAATGCATAGGATATGCGCAACAAAGTTGTTGCACAGCTGCACAATGAACCGACGATTGGTTTTTACAAAACTTGGCATACCTGTGCAACATTTTAAATAATTGAAAGGTACAGTCCATCATTTGTAGTTAAATTTTGTGCATTATGAAGCATCAAAAGCGCTCAAAATCTAACCTGCTTAACAACTAACCTGATGAAGTTTCAGCTCAATGAATGCTGTATATTTCGAGAAAACTAATAAGAAGTTAATCAAATTAGGTTTTGCTCTTCACCGACGTTTAAACACTGTATACTCAGTGTGTTACCTCCCGAGTGAAAGTTGGAAAAAATCACTCGGGTGGGACTCGAACCCACGACCTCCTGCTTTCTAGTGCAGATGTCTTACCACTCGACCACCGAGCTAACGGGATCGGTTGGCTGGTTCGAATCTGATGTACATAGCAGCCCAGCCAACCGATCCCGTTAGCTCGGTGGTCAAGTGGTAAGACATCTGCACTAGAAAGCAGGAGGTCGTGGGTTCGAGTCCCACCCGAGTGATTTTTTCCAACTTTCACTCGGGAGGTAACACACTGAGTATACAGTGTTTAAACGTCGGTGAAGGGCAAAACCTAATTTGATTTATATCACCCCGACGCAAAAATTCCATCTTATAATAATAAGAAGTTGCTGAGTCAGAGTTTTGGGCCTAAATTCAGCATCCGAGCAGATTCTCACTGAGCCGATTGTCGTGCACTGATCCGACAAATTATAGCAACAGCGAGCGTGTGCCTCATGTCAATGATTGCGTGCGCTTCGCCGAATTGAAAACCAACTACGTAACGGAAATTTCTGACAATGCGTCTTTTAATGGACGTTTCACAGAGGGTTTAGTCCCATTATTATAACTTAAATAATTAAATTTACAGTTAAATAATGCAGATAAATTTCAAGGCAAAAGTATCTTAACAAATTTTTAAGGGATAGAGTTACTCAGAGTTGACCACACAAAGCTTTCACAGTGATCATGAAGCCAATTCAACTGACCATGCACAAAATCTGTAATACTTCACTGTGTCATGTGATGAAGGTGCATTGCACTGGATTTATATTAAAGCCAGAGTCCATCATTTGCAGCCATCCGAAAAGTAACTGGCGTAATTATTGTTAAAAAACATACTTGGTTGAAAGATGGTAAGGGGACTAAACTCCTGTGAAATTATTCTTTCTGGCAAGCTGTCATTTTGAAGTAATCAACAAAAGAAGGCCTTTCCAACGGTGCCTCTTAAGACGCACCGTAGGAAAATTTAAATTAGTACTTCGTTTTGTTATTCGGTGAAGCGCGCACAAGCATTGGCATGACGCACACGCATGCGGTTTGCTACAATTCGTCGGATCAGTGCGCGACATCGCATATAGCTGCAACCGGCTCAGTGAGAACGTGTCTCGGATGCTGAATTCAGGCCCAATTCAAAACATGATCCAGCAACTTTTGATTTGAAATTGAGATCCTAGAATGCTGTTTTTCTCGGAATAGACAGCTGAAGCTGAGCTGAAACTTCATCAGGTTAGTTGTTCAGTATCCTTCATTAGATTTTGAACACTTTTGTTGCTTCAAACGAACAAAATGCACAAATTACAAATGATGGACTATATCTTTAGGTTTGAAGGTTTCTCCCTGTAAGTTTTTCGAAGTATGTACCGTCAATTTTAATCTGAACCTTTCATAGCTGGAGACCACAAACAGACAGCAGAGGACAGACAGGCCCGGCCGGCCTCCCCAGCAGAACGCACCCAAAACCACCTCAACAAATACAAGATCTATATCTACTGTGACCCTGTGCGCTACAATGAGGCTACACACATACAGGCAAAGTGAGTAAATAGCCCCTCGAATGCCAAATACAGGGTGAAAAAAAAAAATATGAAACCCAAATGTCGGGACTATTGTTTTAGTGAAGTTCTCCATGTAGCACTTTTAAAATCTAGGATATGGAAGCCCAATTCATATGCTTTCGTGTAGTACAAGAATTATTCAAATCACTCATGTACTTTTCAAGTTGCGGAATTTCAAACACAACCGTTTTAAAGTTTGTCCACAAAAAAGGTGTGCGTTCTTTCAGCACAAGGAAAACAATTCACACACATCCCTATGTGAATTGTTTTTGTTTTGCTGAAAGAACAGCTACATTGTTTGTGATCTGTGGACAGAACTTTAAAACGATGGTTGCGTTTGAAATTCTTGAAAAACTTGAAAAGTACATGAGTGATTTGAATGATTTATGTACCAAATGAGAGTGTATGAATTGGGCTTTCATATCCGAGGTTTAGTGCTACATGCAGAACTTCACTTAGACAGTGGCCCTGATATTTTGGGTTTTTTTTTTTTACTCACCCTGTAATTCAAATATGACCATCTCCTGAGAACATCACAACTTGAAAGGGTATAGCATCAGATTTACCAAGAATTTTCATAAAGTTTACAAAAATCTAAATATGGTTTCAGACGGTAGGACGCTTCACAATGTGTGTGCCAACAAAAAAAATCACCCCATAATCCTTTGCACTAGTACGCCTCTTACACAAATCATGGATGGCATGCACATTAGGATATTAAAAAAGATCGTGGAATCTACAATAGGGCCAAAAAAAAAATAGTAGGTCTCTGGTCAGCGCTTGCTTTGATTTTGATCGGGCAAGTCAAAGTTGGGTTTTTTTTTCTCAAAATTTTCCGCGCTAGCAACAACAGCACCCTCTATTGCCGCACTGCCTCATATGTTCGTGGGCAGCTCGTACCCAGTGATAGATCCGTTACGAGGTTGATGTTGAACAAATGAAAGTAGACAATGGGTACGAAGTTGCTGCCAGCTGATCAACAACAATGGCGGCTAGTCAGCTACACTCGTATCAACACGATGACATGCGATGTGAGCAATTGTGATTGTGAACTAAAGCGTGTCTAAATACATGAAATATGCCACTTATTTCCTTGTCCGTTGTTTGTGGAGTTAAAACTCTTAGACTGTTCGGTATTGTGTCATATAACGGCTGTACAATCAAAGCACGGAAAAAAAAAACCACATTCCCGCATCAATTCTGGAACTTTGGTCTGACCAGAGACTTTTTTTTTTGGCCTAACAATCCTCGCCCTTTTTTTAATCCAATCAGATTGGAGACCAAAGGTTTCGCCACCGTTCTGCCACAGAAGGACGCCCTCAACAACTCCACCCTGACCTCTGACCTGACAGCCTCCGTCAAGACCTGTGACTCGCTGGTATGCTGCCTGGGGCCTGAGATAGGCACCAGCCAGCGGGCGGTTACCGTCTTGGACGTGTGCAAGGCGAGCGGTCGACCCATACTGCCTTGCATCCTGGCCCACGTGGCGTGGCCGCCTGAGGGGCTGACGCAGGAGCACTTCCAAATGCTGACACTGGACAAAATCGGTACGTGTAGACAGTCTTGTATAATTGGGTTCATCACAAAACAACACATTTCCATTTCCATTTCATTTTAGAAACATTTATTTTCACATGAACAAGCACTTTAGAAAACAAAACAATTGTTACATAAAAAACTACTAAGTGGAGGCATTACACAAGAAGCCGGAGCTTACAAAGGGAATGCCTTAAGCCGTGTTCCCATTGGACTTTTTTTGGTTAAAGTACCGCGACTTTTCTGTAGAATGACAAAATTAAATCCAATGGGGACACACGGTAAACTGACGTCCCTGTCAACTTACCGCGACCGTGATGTAAAACTAACAGGCCGAAAGAGGACGCGGAAGACTTCCGCGCAGCCACGGTAACTTAACAGGGCCGCTAAAAAGTCCAATGGGAACGCTCCGCGCTGTAAACCTAACGTGTCCACGCTGTAAAACGCTATGCAAACAACAACACTTACTGTATACACAGAATTCGCGCGAAAATGGTAGTATGGTTCCCTGTCTCGTTTGCACTGATGGCGGTGTGATATTATCATCGTACCGTACACAGCGTGTGTAGCATGTACTACGCTCAGCTGCAGCGCTTTTTTCAATCTCGTCCAGCTGCTGCAGTTTCTCTACTTTACTAGTTAGAAACATGGCAGATTTGATCGATTTTGTGAGGAGTTTAATTGGGCTAGATGAACGTGAAAATGCTGATGAAGGCACAGGAGAAATAACCTGGCCGACTAAATTCAGCGCGCAAAAAATACGTCACAGGCACGTCATATCCCGCATAGGTCAAAGGTGACTGTGCACAACGCCCGCAATGTGTGACATTCTGCCAGTCTCGAACAGCGAATGAACCGTTCCGTCGCGGAATATAAGTCCAGGTGGGAATGCACGGTAGAATTACACCAAAGCCAATCACGATAATTTTCCGCGTGGCCGCTGAAGAAAAAGTCCAACGGGAACACGGCTTTGAACACAACAAAAAATATATATATATACATATAAACAATACTGAAAAAGGAAGACTAAATTCAAAGACAAAACACAACAAAACAATGAAAACAGAAACAGACAAACAAACGGAGTGGACGTAAACCTAATAAACTTTACAGACGGACATACGAAACATACTAGTGATACAACGACACAGTTTATAAAATGGATGATGCAAGCAAAAGAAAGCACAATTAAAGCAAACGGTATGAATGTAGAAAAACCAACAAAAGACAAATGGGGCGTAGAGCAGGTCCCAGAGATGCCAACCATGACTCTTTTTGGAGTAATTATTAGGATTTTGAGGCATGTTACTACTCTTGAAAATTCCAGCTGTCCTATACGCCAACATTGTGGCTACTCTGAAAAGTACTGTGGTTACTCTTAAACTTGACTGTTGTCCTATGTATTTACATTAGCATTACTCTTTGCACAAAGAATCATTACTATTTTCTAGTCTGTAAATTTGGCATCTCTGCAAGTCCTCTTCTAGAGACTGTCAAAACCCAATCAAAAGTCGTTTAGTTCAAAGTCAAGTTCCAATCTGTTCACATCAACTGTAATAAAGACATTCCTTCGTTATTGTTCATTCCCGGAGCAGACTGGTGAGTTGACTTGTGATTGGCATGTGTTTGGACTTTTTATTGGCATGTAATGGCATAGACAACAATTGAATTTAATGTTTAATTTTCTAGAGTAAGCTGACATGCCAATTACAAAGTTATTCAAAGTTAAAGGGAATATACATCATTTGCTTTTGCTGTAATTTTCAGAAATGGATGGAATTGGGGGGTTGGAAATATATAGCAAATCTAGTTACACCGACTTTTTTGAGGTTTTGGGTTCGAAAATGCTATAAAAACCAAGAAAAACGATCATTTTCCTGTAGTCTGGTTCCCTGACTCTATATAAGAAGAAACAGAGCAGTTTACATACATTGGGGAATTGTAAGGTCAGGGAACCAGTCTAGCTGGCTCGTACCCGTTCATAGGTTTGTAATCGATTGCAAACAAGTGTGATGGTCAATTGGGGCCAGTATTTGAAAAAAAAGCCAGTTTCCAACGCTGATCGGCCGATCAGCATTGGAAATTGATACAAAAATACCACTTTTCTTGAAAATGACAGTATACCAGGTGCCATGATTTTACAGGATGCTTTACACTGTCATTCACTAACAGTCCAGCAAGGTATTTCAAAATGATTTTTGTTGTTTTATTTTTTGATGTTTGCAAATGTTGTATTTTCCCTTTAAACACAAATCAAAGTTTGGGATAGTCAAGTTAGGTCATAAGTATAAAACAGATCTAGCTATCATACCTGGTGTGAAAGTGCACACCATCACAAAGTTTTGACGTCACAGTGAGAATTTGTGATACAGCTTTGTAAAAGTTTCAACCTCAGTGAATTTCGCTTCAAATGTTTTGTATGTTTAGTTCACTTTGCAGGGCATTCAGGTGGACCGTCTGTGATACATGTAATCAATTGAATTGTGATGACTTGAACATGTATTTATCATGCATTTATCAACTCATAACAAATGTACATCTCAAAAAAAAAAATTGTAAAAGAGTGTGTTTTGAGAAAGCTGTGGTCACGAACCTCTTGTTTTTTTGAACAACTTCAACATCAATTTTTATTGCATGATAAAATATTTCATTTTAAAATGATTGTGGTAAAACTCCCATGGGGCGCTGTGGTCCAATGGTTACGGTGTTCGACCCGTGTGCCGTGGTGCATGGGTTCGAATCTTGACCGTGGGAACATGGTGCTTGTGCTCTTGAGCAAGGCACTTTACCATTATTGCTTCGTCCTTCGGATGGGACGTAAAGCCGTAGGTCCCGTGTGTTGTGTAATGCACGTTAAAGAACCCAGTAACACTTATCGCTAAGAGAAGGGGTTTGCAATGGTGTTTCTGGCAGTGGCTGCAATGTGCGCCGCAGCACCTTGTAAACCATTATAAGGTGCTACATAATGGGTCTCATATTTCTCATAAACTTTATTTATCTTTCTTTAATAATTGACATAATTTCCAGCGCCTTGAGTACCTAATTGTTGGTAGACACGTGCGCTATATAAGACTCCATTATTATTATTATTATTATTATTATCTCTAAAGACCCTTTTCTCAAAATCTAACACTTGTCATCTTTACTTCAACCTGATCGGAAGTTTGAAATTTGTTCCCACTTTATTTCTTTGTGTTCGTGCAGAGATGACGCAGGATTTTGATTGGGGTGTAGAGCAGGTCGCGGAGAAAACCCTGAACCTCAAGGGCAAAGGCTACAACGGGAAGCTCATCAAGGTGGAGCTGGGCGACGCTGCTAAGATGCTCTACACTGATGCACAGGTAAGTTGAAGTTAAACTGATGGAGATTTTAGATTGTGTTCCCCTTTTCTCTTGTATGGATAGGGAAATGATTTGACCACATGCACGTATGTGTAATACTCACTCAAAGATGTACAGCAAGTAGCCAGCGAGCCAAATGCTGTACAACCTACAAGCCTACAAGGCATTGTCCGAATTTCGCTGGGACTGGCCAGAACTTGTCAAAATGTCACAACTTTTCTTGGTTCAGCATTTTTGTGCTCATATGGCAAACATGTTTCTGGTTATCACTTTGACATCACAAACATGTTTCTGGTCATGTTCGCAAAAATGCACTCCAGCTAATATGACAACTCTTTATGTGAACAATTTGTTAACAGAAAGGGGACAAGACGGCTAACAAAGAGAGCGATCCAGACGCACTGAAGACAGCGGTGGCAGACGCCGATCGCAGGAAGGCCACGTCGTTTGGTAACACCTCCCCCAATGGTTCCCCACCCCAGGACAAACCCCTGAGCAGACCCCAGAGCGTCACACCAGCGGGCAAAGCCAACAGGGCGTCGTCGGGGAAACCCAGAGCACAATCTGCCGGGGTCGGAGGTCAAGGGTCGGGGTCTGTTCAGAAATCCAAAATGTGCTCCATCTTGTGAAGATTCTTCATTTTTCATCGCTATGATATGTCTTTTTAGGAACTTATTTCAGGGCCTTGGAAATGAATTTGGGAAAAAGGGGCCAAAGGTTTGGTAGGCATGCCACTTTTAGTTTAAATATCCGATTTTTGGAAAACTCTGACCAAACGTAATATTTTAAGCACAAATTGGGTTTGTCCAAATCCGCTGTGTGGAGAAAGATTACAACCACACATTTTTATACTTATCAAAAGAAACTTGTAAAAAATTTTGAAATGCAAAACGCTAATTTTCTGTGTTGCTCAAAAATTAAATTCAAGTGTGATAATTAATGCATGTGCTGTTAAAGGAAGTCACATCGTACGTGTAGATGCATGATTTCAGGAGTGTACATTTTTTTTATAAAGAGGAAATTTTACAAAAAAAGCAGCTACGTATATGTGTATAGCATTTATGCTATTTCTCTTGGAGAAGAAATGATGCACCGGTGCAATAGGAAGAGTGTTCCTATGTGAAATTGTGTGTACCTAAAAGTATTTTAGTTTTGTTTCTGTTCACATCCGTAATCAAATTAGCTCTATTTTACATGTTTGAATTTGGATAACCATTGTGTAAATTTGCATTTTTATCGAGTTTATGCTACATGTGTGTTTTTGGTTTTAAAAGGGGACGTGAAATTATCCCCCCTAAATTCCCAAAGACCAAAATTGTGTAAACCAAATTTAAGGGAGTTTGTCTTTTAGAAACCGATTGATATTTATGTGTTGGTCTCTCCCTGAGCAGTCTAAGGAATATCCCCTTGCATTACAAGGGGTAAAGGGGTAAAAATTATGCAAAACAAGACTGCGTCTTGACCTCGAGATTCTGACCATTCAGCGGGCCCCTCATCAAGTTAACCTATTGTATTGCAAAAACATGGCAGTCAAATTGACCAATCAACAGCTTAGTCCACGTTTCTGATCGCAATGACGTCACAATTTCTAAAGTAAACTCCTATTGGCTGGCGCGTGGGGTCACATAAAATTTGCATGCTCACATAATTATATCAGACATTGGTTACGGAGAGGGCTCTGCTGCACACTGGATGATACTCGGACTACCCCTGAGCCCCTCCCCTAAAAAGTCACTGTTTCTTGATAGGTTTTTTTTAATGGAAAAGGTTAATTATGTGACCATCATGGCTATGTGACTTGAAGAACATTAATAGAATTACTCTCCATTGTTCTTATTTGCCCTATAGTTCTTTTGTATTAAGTCACAGTGTGGGAATTTTTTAAACGTGCAAATCAAATGGCACAAAAATGTTGCCAAATGCCATCAAGAACACCTTGTTTTTTGTTTCTGGTAATGAAACCAAGGATTCCTCAAAAGCGCCCTAGGCACTGTAGCTCGCGAGCCTGAAGAAACCTGTAGAGAGAAGACAATGAGAAGAAATTACAGTTTTACAGGGAGGAAAACCCTAGAAAGATATTCTGGGGAAAACCTACGGAATCAGATGCTAGAAAACCCAAACCACATGTGGCCAGGGCAGGAATCAAACCCGGGTCACAACGGTGGAAGGCGAGGAAAGAACCGCTGCGCCAACCTGACTCTCTGTTAACTTCCAGAATATAATAAAGTCAAACACCTTTATAACAAGGTCCTTGGGACTTTACAAATGACCTTGTTATAACAGGTACCTTGTTATAACAGGTACCTTGTATTAACAGTAATGGGGAGCAAAGACTTGGCACCTAAAATGTTGTTTGTTATAAGCAGAATGTTGTAATTACAGTGCTCTTCTTATCAGGGTTCGACTGTAGTATTCAAATTAACATACCAAAAAAAAAACAGTTTTGTGATCAGTTGAACATGCCCTAAACAATAGTATTTGCATAGGTCTTCCAGATATATTGCTAGTTGTTCACGGTCAGAGGTCTTGAAGAAGAAAGGAACCTATTCTAAAGCCCGATTCTAAGCGCTGGGATTTTTCCAGATTTGTAGATTACAGAAAGGATCCACGAAACAAGCACTTCTAATGTTGAGAGGCAAGTGGATGTATGATTAGAAACTGTTTTTCTGTTGTCACATTTATCAGACATAAATCATTTGCCGTCCATAAATTACACTTCTGTGACAATCATAAATATACTCCAGCAAAATCTGAATATTTGTTTTGCTGTAGTTAGGCCTTTTATGAACTTACGGACTTGGGTTCGGTTTGCATGAAGGTTTTTTTTCTTTCTGTATTTGATTATTCATTCATGTTTGACATCACTGTTCACATCATTACAGTGTTTTCTGGTCTTTTATTTGATATTGGAAAGTACATCTTCTGGCGTGTTGAGTATGTAAACCTGTACATTGGGTCTCTTATTGTAATTAATAATTACACATTTAATTACTAAGGGCATTCGCATGGATCCAGAGTACCAACATTTGCAGATAGTTTTTTTCTTATTACTGTTTGGGAAATTTCTTGCAAGCTGCTAGCAGAATTTCCGAGCAAAAATCAAGCAACCATTTATAGCAATCAATATACATGTACATTTGGTATGTTTTTTCTATTAAAGCAAACGTTTTCTGACATGTCTGAGCTGGGCCCAATTTCACGGTGCTGCTTAGCACATGATTTTCTGCTAAGCAAAGCCTCCGTCTTTTTCATGGAGACCATAAGCACAGCATAAGGTACCCTTACTTCAAAGACAAAATTTGCTTAAAGTGACGTAACAATAGAAATCTCCATGCACACACGACCGCTAGCACATCCATGCGGTGAAATAGTGCTTGAGGTTAGCAAATTTGTTTGCTTTGCTAAGCGCAACTCTTCTGCTGTTAAAGAGGTTGTGGAATGCTCGAAGACATTTCCGTCATTTTTCGGGTATATGTAGCCTAAGGTGTGATGAAATAAAAACGACTATTGTTTCTGTCATGAAATGAGTACAAAAGGTACTTTTGAGAGCTGTTTTTCAGGTCCAGTTTCGACCCGAACGTGCAACTGTGTAAAAGTCGTCGTTGCGGGCAGCAAACAAAACACAGTAAATCGTGACGTAATAAACAGGACTCGTGTATGCTACTGCCATTGATCTCCATATACACAGACACAGACACATATATCTTCATATACACAGTCTGTGTATATGGAGATCACTGGCTACTATACTGCGCATCGGGAGTCCTGTTTATTACGTCACGATTTACTGTGTTTTGTTTGCTGCCCGCAACGACGACATTTACACAGTTGCACGTTCGGGTCGAAACTGGACCTGAAAAACAGCTCTCAAAAGTACCTTTTGTACTCATTTCATGACAGAAACAATAGTCGTTTTTATTTCATCACACCTTAGGCTACATATACCCGAAAAATGACGGAAATGTCTTCGAGCATTCCACATCCTCTTTAAGCTGCACCGTGAAATTAGGCCCTGAGCGTGTGTATATTCTGATTACAGCACCACAAAATTGTACCATAAAATAAATTTGGGATGCAGTGCGCTTCCTATAGTCATAAATGCCAAGTTGACACAGCATTTTCTCCTATATTTTAAAAAAGCATGAATTAATATGTTGTGTATTACCAGTTGTGGATTTTAGTCCCTCACCTTTTTTCAGTAGAATTGTCTTTGCAGAGATGATTATCGTGAGTGATGTGAAAATATATTTAATTAGATACCGACAGTCGAACAACAGTCGAACAACGTTTCGTTGTTTTATTTTGTATGTGTGTTATCTCTCTTGAAACCTTCAGTTTTGAAACATGTTGACTGATTGTTTTCACCAGTGAAAATACCCCCCTCCCCTCGGTGAAATCAAAGAATTACTTTGAAACACCCCAAAATTAATTTAAACAACTTAAAGACAAAGATTTAGATCTTTCCACCCCTGTGAATATTTCAGTGTGAACTAGATGCAGTGCGCCATGGTGGTGCCTTGTGCACAACTAGCTTTTTAGTGCCAAAATTGGAAATGTTTCTCAGTCCCAGATTCATGTCTTATCATCATTTTTTGCAATGACTGACCTTCATTGATATGATATATAGAGAAAAAAAGGGGCGTCAGGTTGCAACATTCTTTCCTGACTTGTCTTGGAAGCATTCGGTTTAAATCCATTACTATCCATTTAACTCTATTTTTCTCATCACATTCCTATCCCGTTCTACTTTTTTTCCGTTCCGTCCTGTAATGAATCTTTGTGTCAGTGACCCAAAAGCAACACAGATGAATAAAAAAGAATTTTTTTTATAGTTAAAATATAATATAGAAATAGAAAATTCATAAAGAGAATTGAAATTCACTGGGTGAGCAACTTTAAAAGTGAGCAAGCCAGTTTCCATTTGATGCCCAAGATTCTGGGATTTACACCATTTTTACACCCTTTTCAGAATAATTTTGACTATTTCTTTCATTTTTGAGGAGACTACAAACAAACGCAAATAAATTAAATCTATTAAGTCTGCATAATTTTGGCTCATCATTTTAATATTGACCTGTCCTGCTACCTACCAACAGTTTTATGTACAAGTATTAAGCACATAAATGTTCATCAAAATGGGTGTCTATTTAATCTGAAGAATAACTTCATCTGTTTTGATCAACTTTTTACCAAACCACAAGTTAAAAATGCCAGGCTGATTTTCAAACTCGGATGGTGGAGTGCCACTTCAAACGAAAAGTTGTTTTTACGTTGTTATAATACAACTCTCGTTTTATAGAATACACTAGATTTAATTTCTTTTTTAAAGCGAAAAGTAGAAAGTCCTGAGTTATTGGGGTTTGTAGCTACCAACAATTGTCACACTCACATTTTACAAGTCAAAAATTCTTTTCAACATTCATACCTGGTGTACTACGTACACAAAAGACACAATAACTGTCTACGAAAAAATATTTTTAGTTTTTAATAATAATATATTTTTGCACATTCAGCTTAATTTACAGACTAGTTTTATACATGATTGTTTTAAAACGAAAACGTTCTAGTTCTAAAAAGATTTTAAAAATAATTCTTAGGAATGTAGAGTCGATAAAACGGTATTTTACAATGTACAGAATAGTATTTTTTCCAGCGCTGATTGTACGTCCTTTCTTGTCTGATGCTCTAACTTGAATACATGTACATTTAAATAAAAAATTGCAGTAGTTTTCAAACTTCTTCTTCCTTACAAGTGCAGACTTCATAGCTGAAGATAAACGCAGGCAAACCCCTTCTCTTAGCAATTTTTTTTGTTACTGGTTTATTTTACCTGCATTATTCAACACATGGGACCTACGGCTTTACGTTCCATCTGAAGGACGAAGCAATAATGGTCAAGTGTCTTGCTTAAGGACACAAGTGTCAAGACCGGGACTCGAACCCACACTCTGCTGATTACAAACACCAGAGTTTGAGTCCGGTGCTCTTAAACGCTCGGCCATGACACTCCACTAACTTCTGGTTTTAAGAGTTACTGAGTTCGTTGTTTTTGCTGTAACACAAATATTTGAATTATAGTATACGTTAACACAGTAGCTTGCAAATTTCCCAACTGGATTGTATTCTCCCTTTGTTAATTTTTTATTTAAGCTACTTAAACTATGAAAATGTTTTCAAATACCACTATCAAAGGTTAATGAAGTTGACAAAATAGATTGAAGTAAAACAACAAAAAATCTAGATTCAACCTAATTTTTCTTTGAAGAAAAAAAAGACTTACCCTGTATTTGATGTACTGAAATTGACTTTAAAAAGGGTGCAATCTAAAAAATTAGACCACGTAAGTGGATGATTTATGTTATCACTATAAATGTATCTGACAAGTCACAAGTCTAGGCTCACAAACAATTCATTTACATCATCAGCGACAACATTAACATTTTTTTTTGTTCGGCAGCTATTCTTGACATTTACTTTATATTTCAGTAACTTTAAAGTCAGAGTAGTCTTGGCCCAATTTTGAACCTCAAATTCATCTCCGCTTCTGGTCATACCTCTGGAAAAAACAAAAACAAATAGAAGCATGGAATGCCCAAACCAAACCTAAAGCAAGAAATTGAGATGAAGTCAAGGAGTTGAAAACTTAAAGCCCCAGATTTAGTACACTTCAGCGTGGTGCTTCCTGCGTCGTGTCGGAGAGACCGACCTGGGCCGCGGACGGCGCGAGTGCCCGCCAATCAGCGTCGTGGCCTCCTCGTATCCCTGCCGGAATCCCTTCTCCATGTTCTGCAGGCTCTCGTCCAGCCCGAACGCTGTGATGGCGTGGGAGTGGTGCGCCTGTATCAGCTTCTCCAGCCTGGAGATGATCTCATAGTCGGGCACGGCCAGCGTGGTGACGTCCATGCCGAGCATGCGGGCGATGACCTGCCTGAAGTCCACCAGCTGCCGTTCCCGCCGCTGGACCTCCTGAAGCAGAGCCTTGGTGGCCTGCAGGTCCTCGCTCAGGGCTTTGACCGACTGCTCGGCCCGGTTGTGCAGCTGGTTGGCCTCGTGCTCTGTGAACTCCAGCTCTTGCTTCATGCCGGCGATCTTGCGTGCCTGCTTCTCTTTGGTCTTCTCCAGCTTTTGCAGGGCTTCCTCAAGCTCTGAGATACTGTTGTACTGATGCATGGACGTCAACTGTAAACACAAATTTGAATAAACAATACACTTACTTCCACTTTCTCAACAAAAATTAAGATTGACAACAGGTTTACCAAATCAGAATATCCAAATGCAAATTGGTTATAGGGAAGTATCAATAGAAGGCGAAGTCATGTGGTAAGTAATTTTGCTATATCATCAGAGGGAGCCTGTCAATTAGTATATTATATATATATCGTGAAGCTGCTAAACACCAAAAGTTGCTTAGCACAGCAATAATTTCATAGTTTAATCGGGGGAAAAAATTTTCATGACAGCTGACGCCACTTCAGCTGTTGTGTACAAAGTCTCAAATTTTTGAAGTATTTCCTAACAATATTGGAAACGTTTCTCAGTTTCAGATGCATGTCATATCATCATTTTTGCAATGACTGTGACCTTCACTGAGATGATATATGAAGAAAAAGTGGCGTCACGCAGGTTTTAACATTTTTTCCCCAATCGGGTTACAAACAAAACTGTCATGCAATGGAAACTGCTTACGACGGATTCTCAGCGAGGAAAATTCAGAAACATTCTGATCTAACAAGAAAATCCAAGAAGTCTATCAAATACCAGTGAAACTCACCTTCAGATTGCTGACGTCCAGCATCTGTGCCTTCATGTCGATGATCAGCCTCTTGGCCAAGCTCAGCTCTCCTTTCAGTCTGTCAACCTCCTTGATCAGCTTGCGTCGGCCCATCTCGGTATCATCCCGCTCCTTCTGAAGTGAGGAGCGTCCAGCCATGGCCTCCTCCAACTGGGTGATCTTCTTGCGCAGCAGGTCCAAGTGCAAATCCTTGCTCTCCAGCTGCTCCTTGTTGGCCTTGAGCTTGCGCTGCAGGGAGTAGACGTGGGTGGTCTTGTCAGCGAGAGTGTCGCCCTCGTTGCGCATGAGCTGCTTGGCGCGGGCCATGATGGCATCCCCGTTCAGGTCAAAGCCCAGGTCCAGGGCGATGGTGTCCAGTTTCAGCACAGAGGCAAGTGACTCCAGGAATGCCATGTACTGTGGACAATTATTACAAAGTTAAATCATTACAAAAATGTTTCAATTATTTTCAAATCAAAATAGCTATAGTTCATTAAAATGTGCCCTTTTTTTGGAAGGGGGGATGGATGTGCAATTAAACTTGTTACTTTCTTTATGTTTAACATTACATTATTTTAGATTTCTGACAAAAGTTCTGGGACCTTGATGGAGTTTGAGAGGAGGCAACAAGATTGTTTTGGATTTGTCAACTGGATATTGTAATTCAGGGTATTTTTGCTTAAGCAAAAAAAAGGGTTGAATTTAGCTTCAATTTTACACTAGAAACTGTCAGAAAGAGATTTAAGACGCGGCACAGAAGCAGCTTGATGTACGGTGCACTTTATCGTAAACAGCGCTCACTAGCCTCAGTTAAGGGCCATATTTCTGAATTGTCACAGTCGGCTGAAGAAGAATACTGGTGAGCCCTCCCCAAAAGAAAATCCCGGGACGTCCGCTGAAATAACCTGACTACAACTCTGTGTGGAATCGAGTGCCACTGCAACACACCTTCAGTCTCTCCCCGCGCAGATTCTCCAGCAGGACCCCGTCGGCAGACAGGCTGCTCTCCAGCTGCCTGAGGCGAGCCTTCTGATCCCCAAAATCCTCCTGTGCCTCCTTGGCCCGCTTGATGGTCGCCTGGTGCAGGTTGGCCTGGCTGTCCAGCTGCTCGGTCAGGTTCTTGATCTTGGTCTCCAGCAGGTCAACATGCTGTGTGAAGGTAAAAGGAGACGAGATGCATAAACTTAAAGATTGCGACGGGAACAATGACATTTCAGTTGGGGAAAAAACAAACAAGCAATAAGAAAATCGAAGTTTGCTGAATAGGTTGTTTTTCTATGTGACTTGTCTACGTAACTTTACACAAGTTTACATAAACACTGCATATACGGAGTGTCTGACAGAACTTGTGAAATTTTTGTCACAATCTCTCAGACAGCATTGAGGATACAGTGCTCGTAAAGTTAGGTTGGTAAAGAGCGAAACACTAAAATTTACATTCTTCCAAATTGAAAATCTCCATTAAAAGTCATGTGACCAGGCCCGTCACCAAAGGGGGACAACCCCCGATAAGCAACTGGCCCCCCATCAGCAAAAACCACAAGCGTAAAACTTACATATCAGTTTTTTCTTGTGTTGGGCCCCCCTAGCCTGTACTGTTGCCCCCCCCCCCCCACCCTAATGCCCGGCGCTGGCGAAAGTGCTGCAAGTGACTCTTTAGTGGAGTTTGTCAAAGTTTAAGCTCTATGAATCCATTATGAAAACTAACAGTTTTGGAAAGCAAGTTCTTTTTTTTCAGCCCCTAGGATTGCTGAATGAAAAGCTCACCGTTGAGTATTCTCTGCTGTCCACCTGCAGATGCTTGACCCGTTCCTTGATGGCCTCCTCCCGAGCATCGCACCGGCTGCCCTCCCGCGACAGTAGCAGGGCCAGCGACTCCTTGAAGCCCCTCAGCTCTGCCTTGGCCACCTCGGCTTCGTGCCGCAGGGTCTTGGTCTCCTTGCCCAGGGTGGACATCCTGCTCTCGTGGTGGTCCAGCTCCTGTCGGTGGCTGCTCCAGGCCTGCTGACTGGCGTCGACACGCCCCTTGAGCAGGGCGTTCTCGCGTTCCAGCTCATTGCGGATCTGGAGTGCTGCATCCCTCTCCTGCAAATAAACAGACAACAAACACATGGCTAATAAAAGCAACTTCTGAAAGAGGGATATTTTGTTATGTATCTTTTTACTGAAGGGTTATGCTGACACTCATTCCAGAAGTATTTAATTGTTTTTTGGTTGTTTAATGTGACTTTTTAGTCAGTTCAGTTCAGTTCACATTTATTGCCCTTCTGCACTGGGGCCAATTTCATAGAGCTGCTTAAGCACAAAATTTGCTTAAGCACAAAAACGTCTTGCTTAATAAAATCAGGTTACCGGCCAAAACTCCATGCGATTGTTATGCTAAGTAAACAACAGCTAAATACCAGTCACAAGCAATGTACATCACATGGAGTTTTGGCCGGTAACCTAATTTTACTAAGCAATGTTTTTTCATGCTTAAGCAAATTTTCTGCTTAAGCAGCTCTATGAAATTGGGCCCTGGACACAAGAAATAACAAGATATAAGGAAATATACAATTGCCGGCACGTACATGGAGGCATATTTTGGAAGCCGAAGCTTGTATAGAGATGCCTTTAAATAATAACTAATTAAAGAAATACTGAGTATAAAAATGACGAGCCATACAAATCAGACAGACACAACAGAAAAACAGATGTACAGAATGACCAAATTGTCGGATGAGACAAGACAAAGTGATTACATTGACTGTAAAATTTCCTTCTAGGTCAATCATCTAAAAGTTTCCAGGTTTGCATTCGACAGTTTCTTGTTCAATTGGGTGCACTGAGAAGGAAAATGCAATGTTTTATAATTGTTCTTTAGATTTATTATTATTTTATTATTATTATTATTTATTCGACCTCAACAAAGAATTACAAACAGTGATACAAAACCAAACAAAAATTACGCAAAAGTTGTTGAAAACGCACAACAAAAGAAACGTAGAAACATGTAATTTAAATTATTAAAAAAATCATGAAGTAGAGGGCATGCACTTTAAATGACAGCTGGAGTGGGCTTCCCAATTGGGAGTTGAACAATAACCAGTAAGACACAAAAAATCACAAAGAAAACGATTATGTGGGTCAGGGACCGCAAAAGCGAATCTAATCACTGTTGCTCGGAAGCATGCGGACCCGCACATAATGACAAATGAACAGGACAAAAAAGGCAAACACATGCACAAGAACAAGATTACAAATGGCAGGGAAATAACACAATAAAGGGAAGCCCGAAGATTAAACTTAAGATTAAGTAAATTGCGCTATAATGTGAGCTGGTCATGGAAGTGTGTCTTGAGACTGGCTAGAAATGAGTTTAGTGAATTAAGCACTGCAGAATCCCGGATTGAAGTAGGTAAGTGATTCCAGAGTCTAGGAAAGCGACTTATACAAGGAGAGTTTGAGAAACATTTAAATGGTTAACTACCTAGCTGTCAAGCAAACTTACCAGTCTGAGTTTCTCCATCGTGTTGCTGGTGTCCATGTTGTTCCTCTGGTCCCGGTTCATCTCAGCCACCAGACGCTGGATGGTCTCCCGGCTGGCCTTGGACTCCAACTCGCTGCTGTTCAGACTCTCTTCCAGCGACGACAATTTTCCTCGCAATGTCAGATTCTCCTGGGTAAGCCCCGTCACCTAAAAGAAGATAGTAATTAATCGACACACGTACATAATTAATACAGTTCTGTACACAACTGCAACTTGAGCAACATGCAGGCATACAACTTTTTCTTGGATCAGCTGCAACCGATTTCACAAAAAAAATGTGCAGCTTGCACCATGCGTCAAACTTACGCAACAAATTTGTTGCACAGCTGCACAATAAACTGTGTGACATTTTAAATAATTTAAACACCTTGGACGAGGATAAAAGCAGCATTTACGACGGCTGTTTGTGTGTAAATTTGTTCGTTCCTGAAACAGTCGTTGGATCAACTCAGCCCGCCATTTTGAAAATTATTTGATCCGCCTTTATTCGGAAATCGTTCGGCAACTCTAAAAAATAAAGTTACGAGTAATATAGAAATGTGTTTATTTCAAACATAAAGTTGTGAGTGTCTTGTATCAACCTCGATAAGTTGTGCAATAACGGGCTCCACGACAGTTACGATTTGCTGGTAAAATACGTCATTTTCAGTGGCCACACCACAACTTACGCCACCTAAAATGATTGCGCAAGTTACGCCATAATTTAATGCGCGGACTTACACACTATCCGACTTTGGTGAAATGTGTCACAAGTGAAATGTTGCGCAACTTAAGCAGTCAATTTTGGCGCAAGCGGAGTTGCGCCATTGCGTGAAATCGGCTGCTCGATTTCCTTGATTTTCACTTTGCAGTCCTGTAAAGTTTGGAAGTTCTTGAGTTGCATGCCTGAATATGTTTGTAAATAATTTTTCTCAAATTCTGCTGAAAGACAGTTTGCCTTTTTGCCAGGATCTCACCGAAGTCAAACTCCCGAATCTCACCTTCTTGACGACCTTCTCAGGCGTCATCTCCTCCCTGCTGACCACCCCTTGCAGGTTCAGGAACACCTCGTTGTACTTCCTCTCCCAGGCCTGGGCTCCTCGCTCCGCCTCCTCCCTCTCCCCCAGCAGCATCCGCACCCTCGCCTCCAGCTCCAAGACTTTGGCCTGCTGTTCCTTGGCCTCTTGCTGCAGGGCCTCGATGGTGTACTGGCCCCTGGCTTTGATCTGCTCGGTGCTGCTGGAGCATTCCTGCAGGTCGCCGATGCGCGCCCGCAGCGACAGCATTAAGTTGGACTGGCTGGAGTTCTCTTCATTCAGCCTGTCAATCTCCGCCTTCAGTTCCTTCATTTGGAGCTCCCGGGCAAGGACCTTGCTCTGAGTGTCTCTTAACTGTTAGAAAAAAAGTTAAGATATTTACCTCTAACTCTATCGACCTAATCCCAATTTTCACAGAATTTGAGGCTGTTTATGGCATTATTTATACAGTCAACTCTCGTTAATACAAACTCGTTTGGACCTAGCCAAATGTTTGTTATATCACAATTTTGTATTTCAAGAGGAACATCAGTCCCATTCATTGTGCACATAAATACACAGTTGGGACCAAGGCTTTGTGTTTGCTATAACCAGAATTTGTATTAACAGTGTTTGTACTAACGAGAGTTGACTGTACTGAGTGACACTGTAAGTCAGTCAGTGAGTTGGTCAGAGGCCAAAATATAGGCTGGCCCTGTATTTTATTAGTCAACGAATAATGCCATCTGTGCGACTCTTAATACATGATGAATATGATCGATTTGAGGAGTTTAAATATTCAATATTGGGTTGTGCCCTTCACCAACGTAACTATAAATACAGTGTATCGACATAAGAGGCTTTTCAAAGCTTGGAATTTTTGCCATGGAGAATGTTCCTAAAGGTAAAACCAAATTTTTCTGAAAAGAAGTCAGTCTCAGCTTAATTGCAGTTCGGCATCAAAAAAAGCTGATGAAAAAATACCATTTTCACCATGTTTGGGGATTCATGTATCAAATCGTGGGATTAATATTTCCAACTTGTTTTGAAAGACATATTATGCACTGACATATTTTAAAGATTGATCCACACAAATTTTCACAATGAAAAAAAAAAGTGCGAAAAATACATAAATCAATATATATTAGAATATTTACTCAAGGGGGAATTTTTTTTATTAACTTGGCAAGATTTTATAAAAAATAAAAAACTGATTATCATCTACTTACTTCTTCAACAAGCTGTTCGTTCCTCAGCTGCAGCTTTGCAAAAGTGCTCGAGTCCACGGAGGATTTCAAAATGGAGTCCCGTGTGTAAAATGCATCATGCTTAAAAGAATTGAATGGACAGAAAAACAGAATAAATTGATCTACAAGTATTAACTGAATGAAAGTATTGATCTTCATCAAATGATTAACCATCAAAATACGTGAATACCAAGTGCTCTTTGAAACAGATGGGTCATACATGCATAGACATCAATCTGAATCAGAAAAGTACACGAGAATGGATTGAGATTCCTTGCAATTTCTAAAGCCAGTTCAAGCAAAGAAGTAATCTTTCATTTTATAATAGTTGGTTGCGGGGCAGACGCAATAATATTAGCAAATTAATTTCCCCTCAAATTCAATCATGCAAGTCATCCGAATCTTTTTTTTGGGGGGGGGGGGGAATAGTTTAAAGATGCTTCCCCATGCTTTTTTCGAGTTTAACCCCAACTCCCTAGGGGGTGTGCAAAATTATATTAAATTAGGAGGTTTCAGGACTGTTAGGGCTATCCTTGAAAAATAGATTTATTTTTCAATTGCTATTTTCCTAGCAATAAATGTATTGTTCACTTTTGAATCAGACATTGAACAAAACAATCCACCGACGATTAGTTTTTGAATATTTCTTCACAGAATTTGAATTTACTGGCTGCCAGCCAATTAACTCGGCTCTCACAGGACAGGTTATTTTCGCGGGGTTGCAGATGCCCCAAATCGGTATAAAGTAGTTTTTTGTTAAAGCTATAGTCCATCATTTGTAATTTGTGCATTTTGTTCGTTTGAAGCAACAAAAGAGTTCAAAATCTAATGAAGGATACTAAGCAACTAACCTGATAAAATTTCAGCTAAGCTTCAGCTGTACATTCCGAGAAAAACAGCATTCTAAGATCTCAATTTCAAATCAAAAGTTACTGAATCATGTTTTGAATTGCAGCTATACGCGACGTCGCGCACTGATCCGACGAATCATAACAACCGCGCGCGCGTGTGCGTCGTTCCAATACTTGTGCGCGCTCTGCTGAATAACAAAACGAAATACTAATTTAAATTTTCCTACGGTGCTTCTTAAGAATCACCGTTGGAAATGCCTTCTTTCGTTGATTACTTCAAAATGACAGCTTCCCAGAAAGAATAATTTCACAGGGAGTTTAGTTCCCTTACTATCTTTCAACCAAGTTTGTTTTTGAACAATAATTACGCCAGTTACTTTTCGGATGGCTGCAAATGATGGACTATAGCTTTAATACAAAACATACAAATTGAAATATCGTGAGGAGAATTTTTTTTTTTTTTTTAAGAGCATGGGTATGCGTCTTAAATTATCTACAATCTATTTAATCAGAATATAGTTTTAACCAGAAATAGTAAATTATTTGTTACCTTTTCGTCAAATGAAACATGCTTTCTGTGGACTGGCGTTCCAAGGTCAGCCCTGTCAAGAGATTCAAAAGAAGTTCAATCAGTTTTTCATTCAAAGAAAAAGTAAAACGAAAAATATGATTTCAAATATTTTTTTTTTTTAAATATTAAGTGCATGATCAGGCATTGATTAAAATTTAAAAACAAATTCTTTGAGAAATACAAAAGTAAGTTACATGAGGTATTCAAGATAACAATTAGCTTGTGGTTAATGACTAAAAAGATTTTTTCACAAGTGCTGATAGATGTGTACTGCCAAAAAAACCACTTTCTGTTTCGTGACTTCTTTCTCTGAGTAACTGTTATACCTCTGATTTTCTATATTATTTCTTTATACTTGTTACAGTAACTTGAATAAAAGCATGAAAATAAAGGTCTCTGCATTGAATTGTGTGTTGTCACAGATTTCCATAAAGATGAATTTGGATAAAAACCAACAGATTCCACACCCCCCCCCCCCACAAAAAAATCCAAAGTTGTAATGCAAATTAATTAGATCAACTGAACGAAAACATTAAACATACTTTGAATTGTCAAAATTTTTGATCACAATTACTTAAAGGGAATGTACATCATTAGCTTTTGCTGTAATTTTCAGAAATGAGCTATTTGAGGGGTTAGTATAATAGATCAAAATATTGTTACACTGACATGTTTGAAGTTTTGTGTTCGAAAATGCTGAAAAAACCTAGAAAAACAAAAATGTTCAAGTAGTCTGGTTCCTTGACTCCACTAAAGATAAAATGGACCAATTTATAGATGCCGGAAAATTGTAAGGTAAGGGAACCAGTCTAGCTGGCCTGCACCCGTTCATGAACATGTAACCAATAGCAAACAAAATTTAGACTGAAAAAAGTGTAAAGTTGGAGCAGTAATTGAAAAATAGTTAGGTTTTTCCAACGGTGGTCGGCCGACCACCGTTGGAAATGTATACAAAAATACCATTTTCTTGAAAATGACTTCACACCAGGTGCCATAATTTTACAGGATGCTTTAGACTGTCATTTACCAACATCCTAGTAAGGTATTTCGTAAAAACTTGGTAGTTTTATTTTTCGATGTTTGCAAATGTTGTATATTCCCTTTAAGTAAGCATAAGCAAATAAACAATAGAGGAAGAAATATTCTTTACCTAGACAACTCTTGGATTAGTTTATCTTTCTTCTCCAATTCGTTCTTCATCAGTTTCACTTGGTCGTTCATCTACACAAACAGGCCATAAAAAAAGTAAGGCTCGGACTGAACACGTATACGCAACAAAATCAATACATCAAGTGGTTAGCGCAGGCAATGAAGCATAAGATACGAAGGCAACAGGAGACTGGTGTTGCTATGGATACGAGATGGACCCATTTATTGCACACCAGTGATGGAGGCACGTGATGAATTGTAGCACGTACACAGCTCCAGGCAAGTGAACAAGATTTTCATAATGGGCATATTGTATGGCGCATACATGCACGCATCACACAGAGATTAAAATAAAAAGGACCACAGAATCACCAAAAATATCCTAAGGTCAATAAACTTGAATTACTTGGTATCATTCTGATGTGAGATGTTATTATTTTGTAAAATTTCTGTTGACATTAACACCATTATAGCTATGACATTAATTAAAATTATCGTGACCTACATTCCAAATTTTTTTTTATATATTCCCAAATGCAAGTAATTATTTAAGTAATTGATTCCATTTCATTTTCAATATTTTTTTCCAATTATCTCTCCTCTGTTCACACAAATACAAGGAGCAAAACATTTAAAATCCAACAAATTTGCATAATATAAATCAGCAAACATGTGCGTAAAGACAGTTGAAATATTTTCATTTTAGGTCCTTAAGTTTTTAAAGTGTTGAATTAGTTGGCTATATAATATTTGCAGTTTCAAAGCGAATTACAATGCACAACATGTGCAAAAGGCCAAAAAATGTAGTTTTTAAGGTTAGAAAGGAATAGGTTTTAATTAGACCTCATTGTTCTGATTTGTTTGTTTTGAAGAAATTTGTCCCTTTTCATTTCATAACTAATAATTTAAACATTCTTTTACTTTGGACATTTATCTATTTCTCTCTTCTTTTAAGGGTAGCTTTTTCTTTTAATGCCGAGAGTAAATGTTAATTTTTAGCCAAAACTGATTTTAATTTTAGGTTTGCTTATAAAAAAAAATGCTAAGTATCTAGTTCCAATTCCAAATATTATTAGCTGCTAAATTATGATAAATAACCTTTAATCTGTCGGAAAAAAAGTCAGTATAAGATTACAGACAAAGGACTTACATCTTGCAGTAATTTCTTGGACTGTGGAGGCGATGGAGCGTAGCCGCCGTGTGTTGCTCCCACGGGCGGTGCGGACCGATTATGCCTCAACCTCTCGATCTCCTCGTCAAGAAGCAGCAGGCCGCGATCAACGGGCCGGCCCGCTGACGAAATCCTCGGCAGTCCATTGCTCGGAGACTGCCTCCCAAAGTACGACATATTTCACACTTTTTTCCCCGATCTAAATCGGAAGAATGTATCTTGAAAGTTTAGATTGTAAAAACGTGTTCGGGTGCAGCGTGCGAGTAGCGGTGTTGTGGTGTATTACTCGACCACCGTTCATTCATTGATGAGGGATATTTTGGTCGAGCGTAAACTATGCCGCTGTTGATATGGGCAACTGCATCAACACAACAACCTGCTCGCTCGATGGACTTCTCCCTGCAAAAATGCACCTGTATTTAGCTGGTACTCGGTAATTGATGGAGCGCGTGTATAAGCCAGGCGGCAAGGGTTGCTGCTCACCAGTGTTTGTCAACGTGACGTCACGCATATTTTACTGCATAGTTTTCAAAACGTCGGCCTAATTTTAAGCTGCGGTTTCTTCCCTGGCATTAAAAGTAGTTTTAAACCATCAGTATCCAATCCTGTGGAGAATACTCTTGTTTTTGGTCTTAAATACACGGAAGCAAAAAGGAGCACCCATATTCCTTCGACGTCCCTCATGTCCACGGCCATAATTAAGTTTGCTGAAGCCACAACCGGTGATGAATCCGCGGTTTCACGTGCCAAATTAGGGCCTGCATCAATATTTTTATCCCGTCAGGATGCGCACCGCGCACATTTAGTTAAGTGAGATAATTATGGAGGAGAAACAAAAACAGATTTGATTTTAGAAAAAAAATGTTTTGTCAACTTTTAAGAAATAATCTATCAAGCAAAGAAATATGCGCACAAACACAATAGACATAATGTGGACAAACATAATATCGCTGCACAAACTTTTTATTCATATTAATCATGCAACAACTTCAATGAAATCACCACTTCACTGAAATTCACAATTTGAAATTAACTTTAGAATATAACCTCTTCAGTCAAACATGTTCACTCAGTTAAAACTTGATAGGTTAACACCACTGTATTTCTAATGCTATTGATAATTTTCATCAGTAATTCAAAAGTTAAGACAACAGTCCACAAAAAAAGCTCACTTTACATGACTGCTGACTCACGGGTCATAGTAATCTTCAGGAAAAACATCCAAAACTGATTTCCACCAAGTAGAAAACACAGCTGAGCTAACTTACATTACTTAAGCCAAAACCTTTGACGCATACCTGACAAAAGTAATATAAAACAAATGTAATTCCAACTGGTAACCTCCTTTTGCTTTATAGAAAAATGTGTGATAAGCAGTTATTTTCACATACATGAAGCATGAGATTGGGACTTGATCTCAAGGAAATGATTAAGCGAGAAAGTAGACTGCAGCCAGAATGGGGTGGACATTTTAAGCAGTACTAGTGTTACAGAAACCAGGCATGCAACTGGGAATTTAGAAATAAAAACGAGGAAATTCCAAACCCAACATGACTTTGTACTGTATTTTTCAGTTTATAATGGCATGAGAAGTAAAAAATGAGGAAATCAGCAGATCTGAGGAAAAGTTGCAAGCCTAAGAAACGTTTACCCTGATGATATCAACCAGTATGTACATGTGCATAATATCCGTGTACATGTATTCTTATGTTGGGTGTATGGAATTGACGTAAATATTTAATTAAGCAGTTTTTTTCACATATCTAGTTGCTTTGTGTTCTTCATGTTGAACAAAGCCCCTGTGCTGTAATAATTCAATTAATATGTTCCATGCATGTAATTTCAATTGTTAGTAAAACAGAATTTTTCAATCAATCTTTATTTCCTTTTGTGCAACCAAATAAAACAATTCAAATAGTAAAAGATCCTAGTTAATTTAAGGTCACTTTTTGGGTTTGGCTAGATTATAGAGGGAGTAGCACGTCCAGGCTGTGCCAAAGACAGTCAGAGCCATGATGACGCTGTAACTGACTCGATCTGTGAAACCTTTCTTGAGATGGACGGGTAGACCATCGGGTCTCTGCAAATAAGAAGTAAAACAACAGTGCATCAATTTCAATTTAGCGGGTTTGCATGGTTGAGACTTCATCTTGGGAGAAGTTGGGAGATGTACAATTGTACATGTGTCTCTAAAATGGAGGTGGTTTTGACAAAGATCCTGCCATCATACAAAAAATTAGGCCCTGCATTAACTGTTTGGGAGTCAGGTTGGTGTAGCGGTACTTTCCTTGCCTTCCACCTCTGTGACCCCGTTTGCACCCCGCCTGGACCAATTTGTGGATTGGGTTTTCAGTCCCTAGTACCCGATTCCGTGGGTTTTCCCAGGAATATTCTTCTGGGCATTTCCTCCCACCTCTAAAACTTTACCTTCTTATGATGGACTTAAGGGAAAGGGGTGTGTTGAAGTTTTGCCTCACCTGGAACATTTTTTGACTTTCATAAACTCTGTTTCTGATAAGATTGCCCAAAATGCCATCTCCACCCATGGGGCTCTTGTGTCTGGCTACTGCTTTGGGCTTCTGGTCCCAAACAATCTGGCTCGGCTCAGCAGGTGCTTCAGGTTTCAATCCCTGTGATAAAACAATTAGAATTGTCAATACGCCGTACATGTACACTTCATAAAACTGCATTAGAAAATCTGCATTTGAAAATTTGAAGAACAAACCTGTTTAATAAAAAATTTAAAAAAAGTACAAACACACACAAGAGCAGGCTATTCCAGTTTCTTTCAGAGTTATAGTTCAGAAAATAACTGGTTTTTCCAAAACTTTCTTCCTTCTGAAATTTCTCCTGAATTCTCCACCATGAACCTGGAGATTAATTGGTTTTATTCACGGGTCGGCCATATTAAATTGAAAGCGAGGTAAAATCTTCATTTTTTGAACTTGAGAATAGAAATGAAAGTAATGAAATAAAGTTAATAAATTAATATCAGTTTGCTCTGATGAATAATTTAAATTTTGTGATTAATTTGTATGCTAATGTTTTAAGCCACATTTAAAAAGCCACACTTGGAATGCATAAATAGTCAGGCACTTCCCCTTTCAACAGTTTACAAGGCCTATGTCGTATTTACACATACGTAATATTTTCGGAACGACTACGTCGCGCAGCAATGTCGCACACGCGCATGTGTGAATGAACTAATACGCGATATGTTGCACTATTTTTGAAGTTAGCATGACTTTGTCGCGTAAATGTAAACATGCTCATTGATTTGTGCATGCATATTAATATGCGTGACAACATCGCTTATGACTTGTGTAAATAAAATTCAGGGAATCTGACCAAAATGGCTTCATCATGAATAAAATTATATGAGGTCTGATCCCCAGAAACTTTCTTCCCTCAGTTTCACATACATCATGTACATAGGCTAGCCTACATGCATTAAATTAAAGGCTAGTTTATAAAAACTAAAATATTTTTAAAATAGGCTGATTACATTTCAATTGAGCAAAGCAACAATGTGTGAAAAGAGAGCTACTTCACTCTGTCATGTCTGTGTAGGCCTAGGCTAGGCTATTTTAATTTAATAACAAACATGACAAAGACTGAAAGTGAAAGAATCAGAAAAAATGTTGCAACCTGACGCCAATTTTTTCTTCGTATATCATCTCAATGAAGGTCAGTCATTGCAAAAATGATAAGACATGATTTGAATCTATATCTGGTACTGAGCAAAGTACTGAGAAACATTTCCAATTTTGTTAGGAAATACTTTTCTTGACTCGCCATCATGTCCATAGACTTTGTACACAACAAACGAAGTGGCGCGGCGTCAGGTTGCAACATTTTTTCCAAAGTTTCATGAGTAACATTTAATATAGTGCACAAATTGCATTACCGCGGGTGCGTATGCCATTTGTGGTGGTGCAGCACCAACTCGACCGCTCATTGAGTTAAATTTGTACGCCATTTTCCAGCAAGTTCGGACTCGGTCGAGCAACAAAATCACCGCTCATCAGCAAGCAGTTCGGCCGGCCGCTGTTCATTGTCTCCACAAGAGGGCGCGCCATTAAACCGGTCTCGATCTGGTACCCAGTATCAATTAGTCTATATTGCATTCAATGAAGAATGGTACCTGTTTATTAGAAAAAAGGTCACGTACGCCATTTTCCATACGATTTCGTGATTTGCGAGGTTGAGGGTTTGGTTGGAAAAAGAACGTTTGAAAATCGGTCAAATTAGAAATGAACAGAGCATTGGTAAGTTTGTAGTATAGCATATACATTAAGTGGGTGTAGGTTTGTTCGCAATTGAGTACTTTCTGTTAAAAATTCATTCTTTTGTTCACAAATTTACTTTTTTGAAGTTCGCCAATTTTTGTTCACGAGAGGGCGCACTAAAACAGATACATTGTTGTACATGAACACCGTCTACGTCTAAAAAGGTATACTCTTTTTGGAACACCCTGCCCTAGCTAGAGTGAGTAATGAATTAGTGTCATAAAATGTGACTGAAATACTGGACTAAAAATACCGTCACCCACACATTTAGCCTGACTGCGTCTGGCCGTACAGTACTATCGCAAGCTCTGTAGTACGGCCAGACGCTGAATGCTTCCAAAAAGACTGAATTTTTTTGGCCGCCGATGTAGCGAGTTTGCTACATCTTCCGATCGCAATTATCTTTTCATCCAGGACACAAATTTCCAAAGTTAAGGTTTGTAGTCGTAGAGCAACTCATACCTTTTCGAAAAAACGTTGTTTGGTCTCAATATTTTCATCCATCTGGCCACAAGACGAATTTCAGTCATCAGATTCCACAAAGATCGTCCCCCATGCGATACCCCATGCGATTTCAAAATGGCGGCCGCGCTGTAATGTATGCAATATGCAGGCGCGCCCACGCAAACTCATGAATATGCATAAACAGTCTGTGACGTACGACCTCGTGTTTTTGGATGTACGGCCCCGCCGCACGCACGTCCAAAAACACAAGGTCGTACGTCACAGACTGTTATGCATATTCATGAGTTTGCGCGGGCGCGCCTGCATATTGCATACATTACAGCGCGGCCGCCATTTTGAAATCGCATGGGGGATCGCATGGGGGACGATATTTGTGGAATCTGATGACTGAAATTCGTCTTGTGGCCAGATGGATGAAAATATTGAGATCAAACAACGTTTTTTCGAAAAGGTATGAGTTGCTCTACGACTACGAACCTTAACTTTTATACCCCGCCAGATTTGAGACCAAAAATTTTGGCACTATATGCGTGTAGATACACTACACACTACACCAATAAAGCGCCCTCAAAAGGCAGCAGGGATAAAGATCGACGAACACAACCTGCCGACAGCGTGACATATCTTATGGGCTTATGGAAGCATGAGCGATATGCATACAGAGGAATGTACCCTCTATGTACAGCACATGCACACAATGCCCCACACAAAATCAAAAGGTGTACTGTACACCATCTACACAGCCTACAGCATCTACACAGTACTTAAGGGGTCTACAGTATCTACACAGTGGTTAAGAGATCTACAGCATCTATACAGTGCTAAAAGAGGTCTACACTATCTACACAGTGCTTAAGGGGTCTACAGCATCTTCACAGTGGTTAAGAGGTCTACAGCATCTACACAGTGCTTAAGGGGTCTACAGTATCTACACAGTGGTTAAGAGATCTACAGCATCTATACAGTGCTAAAAGAGGTCTACACTATCTACACAGTGCTAAAGAGGTCTACAGCATCTTCACAGTGGTTAAGAGGTCTACAGCATCTACACAGTACTTAAGGGGTCTACAGTATCTACACAGTGGTTAAGAGATCTACAGCATCTACACAGTGCTTAAGGGGTCTACAGTATCTTCACAGTGCTGAAGAGATCTACAGCATCTACACAGTGCTGAAGAGATCTACAGCATCTACACAGTGCTAAAAGAGGTCTACACTATCTACACAGTGCTAAAGAGGTCTACAGCATCTTCACAGTGGTTAAGAGGTCTACAGCATCTACACAGTGCTTAAGGGGTCTACAGTATCTACACAGTGCTGAAGAGATCTACAGCATCTACACAGTGCTGAAGAGGTCTACAGCATCTACACAGTGCTGAAGAGATCTACAGCATCTACACAGTGCTAAAGAGGTCTACAGTATCTACACAGTGCTGAAGAGATAAACAGTATCTACACAGTGCTGAAGAGGTCTACAGCATCTACACAGTGCTGAAGAGGTCTACAGCATCTACACAGTGCTGAAGAGATCTACGGCATCTACACAGTGCTAAAGAGGTCTACAGCATCTACACAGTGCTTAAGGGGTCTACAGCATCTACACAGTGCTGAAGAGATCTACAGCATCTACACAGTGCTAAAGAGGTCTACAGCATCTACACAGTGCTGAAGAGGTCTACAGCATCTACACAGTGCTTAAGGGGTCTACAATATCTACACAGTACTGAAGAGATCTACGGCATCTACACAGTGCTGAAGAGGTCTACAGCATCTACACAGTGCTTAAGGGGTCTACAATATCTACACAGTACTGAAGAGATCTACGGCATCTACACAGTGCTAAAGAGGTCTACAGCATCTACACAGTGCTTAAGGGGTCTACAGTATCTACACAGTGCTGAAGAGATCTACAGCATCTACACAGTGCTAAAGAGGTCTACAGCATCTACACAGTGCTGAAGAGGTCTACAGTATCTACACAGTGCTTAAGGGGTCTACAATATCTACACAGTGCTGAAGAGATCTACGGCATCTACACAGTGCTTAAGGGGTCTACAGTATCTACACAGTGCTGAAGAGATCTACAGCATCTACACAGTGGTTAAGAGATCTACAGCATCTACACAGTGCTTAAGGGGTCTACAATATCTACACAGTGCTGAAGAGATCTACGGCATCTACACAGTGCTGAAGAGGTCTACAGCATCTACACAGTGGTGAAGGGGTCTACAGTATCTACACAGTGCTAAAGAGGTCTACAGCATCTACACAGTACTAAAGAGGTATACAGCATCTACACAGTACTAAAGAGGTCTACAGTATCTACACAGTGCTTAAGGGGTCTACAGCATCTACACAGTGCTGAAGAGATCTACAGCATCTACACAGTGGTTAAGAGATCTACAGCATCTACACAGTGCTTAAGGGGTCTACAATATCTACACAGTGCTGAAGAGATCTACGGCATCTACACAGTGCTGAAGAGATGTCTACAGCATCTACACAGTGGTTAAGGGGTCTACAGTATCTACACAGTACTAAAGGGGTCTACAGCATCTACACAGTGCTTAAGGGGTCTACAGTATCTACACAGTGCTGAAGAGATCTACGGCATCTACACAGTGCTTAAGGGGTCTACAGCATCTACACAGTGCTTAAGAGATCTACAGTATCTACACAGTGCTGAAGAGATCTACAGCATCTACACAGTGCTTAAGGGGTCTACAGTATCTACACAGTGGTTAAGAGATCTACAGCATCTATACAGTGCTAAAAGAGGTCTACAGCATCTACACAGTGGTTAAGAGGTCTACAGCATCTACACAGTGCTAAAGAGGTCTACAGCATCTACACAGTGGTTAAGAGGTCTACAGCATCTACACAGTGCTGAAGAGGTCTACAACATCTACACAGTGCTAAAGAGGTCTACAGCATCTACACAGTGGTTAAGAGGTCTACAGCATCTACACAGTGCTAAAGAGGTCTACAGCATCTACACAGTGGTTAAGAGGTCTACAGCATCTACACAGTGCTAAAGAGGTCTACAGCATCTACACAGTGCTTAAGAGGTCTACAGTATCTACACAGTGCTGAAGAGATCTACAGCATCTACACAGTGCTTAAGGGGTCTACAGTATCTACACAGTGCTGAAGAGATCTACAGCATCTACACAGTGCTAAAGAGGTCTACAGCATCTACACAGTGCTTAAGAGGTCTACAGTATCTACACAGTGCTGAAGAGATCTACAGCATCTACACAGTGCTTAAGGGGTCTACAGCATCTACACAGTGCTTAAGGGGTCTACAGTATCTACACAGTACTAAAGAGGTCTACAGCATCTACACAGTGCTAAAGAGGTCTACAGCATCTACACAGTGCTTAAGGGGTCTACTGCATCTACACAATGCTAAAGAGGTCTACGACATCTACACAGTGCTAAAGGGCTGTACAGTTAATTCTTGAGTATTACATTTTCTTTTTCAGATTTGTGGCTCTGGAAGAATTTTGTTTAAAGGGAATACGAAGTTAAAACGATAATATTGGCATGGAGCCCGACTAACCTTTGTCACAGAAAAAACAGTAACTGCGCATGTTCAGTGCATATCCGGCAAAGTAACGTTTACTAAGGGTTTGCCATCTCCAGCAAAATATACACTGCCTAAAAAATAAGGAGAACTAAATCCACTTTGACTTAATACTTGGCATCATTGCGAATTGTGTAGTATGATGTGTGTCTTCCATTCAATGTAAGCCACAATTTGCTCGTAATAATTTATAATTATCTTAGTACGACGTCATGAAACCAAACATTGTGCCTTTCTTTAAGCTGGCAGCTCATAGAATCCTCATTTAAACTGTACTTTTTTTTCTTGCTTTTTTTTTACTAGATAGTATAAAATAATTAAAAAATAATGAGAACCTGCCCACCTCTCCAATTGTCAAGGCCTCACTGTCAATATATTTTTATTTTTAGTTTTTGAATTTGCCTTATTCCACCCCCCCCCCCCCATCACTACATGTGAAGAATAGTTTCCAAATAATGAATGTTTTTACCTGAAGGTACCATGGTGTAAATCTTTTCCTAAGTTGAATGATAGAATGTTCCTTTGTACGAGGTTAAGCTGAGTTGAATGGAACACTTCTCTTCGACCCATAATCCTCAAATCAACTGACAAGGATTTCCATTGTGTAATATTTAAAATGAGAGAAATAAGTGTTATTTTTTCAATTACAGGCATTTGGATACCATCAATCAACACATTCAGCAGTGCTACAAACGTATCTGTGCTGTTTCCAGGATAGACCGTGCAGTTATACTTGCCAAGAAATGACAACATGAAAGTCAAGGTATCTTTTCCTTTTTTTCTATGGAGTTGCATGAGCACACTCACTTGAAAAATATAACATGCCTAATGCAGGGGCTGGTTGGAGATACAGCCTTCCTCTACACAACTTCAGTTTGAGTCACGGTTTCATATTTTTGTAGCTAAATCAAATTGGAAATACTTCAAACATATACCAGCCCTATTTAGAATTGACAATCTCTGGGAATTTGTTTCTCGTACAATGTTTAAAAAATCCATTCATTGCTAAGGTTAATTTCTCAAGTTAAAACAATAACATTCAGTGCCTGTTGCACATTCTGAAAATGCAATTTGCAATTAAAAATTGCTGTCATTTAAGAAGGGAATTTTCTCGTATTTTGACAACTTGCAGATACAACATGTTCCAGATGGGAACTGTGATGGAGTCACTGATGCTGCCAAACAAGGATGCCTTCCTTGCACCTGCACATAAAGAGGGCTAACTACCAGGCAACCGTATACAAGCGGGCACTGGATGCAAGTCCTGAAGTGCCGTCTCCACACAGAAGAGGATGGAAGGTCATAGGTTAATGACATCAGTATCCACTGGATGGATATTCCCCCTGCCCCAGACAGTGCAATGGAATTGGCCCATTGCTCATGTAAAAAAGTCAATGCACAAAAGGCAAGTGTAGCTGTCTTGAAAAAAAACTGCCGTGCACAGACTTGGGCAAGTGCACAAACTGTGAAAACATTCCAAGTGAAGGGCAGCGCACTTTACCAGAGAGTGATTCAGATATCGAGGCTTAACTACTGTAAAAATTGACCACGTACATGTATGTCTATCTAAATAAGGAATAAGATTGTCACTTCAGAAACTATGAATCACACAGTCTGCTTCCCATCCACTTAAATATTTCCAAATATGAATCTGACAATAGCATGATAATATGAAACAAATTGCAGTCTTACAGTTGAAATGGACACCGTGGACTTTGTTACGGGATTTCTCCACTTGCAGTTTCAGCAAGGGGATGGGAAATAATTTACCGTGTGTTTTCCTTTTTGACAATCCTTTTTTTAAAGCGCTGACCGTGAAGCAAAAGAAGTTGTTTTGGTAATTTGTAAGAGCTTAAACAGTTTATTCCTCTTCGGTAATGTTCATGATTACAGTCATTTCATTTGTTGATGAAATAGACTCTATTAAGACATGCTTGAGAGTTTTTTGTTATAGTAATTCCTTTGGGGGGGGGGGGTGCAGAAGATTGTCCTCCAAGATGCTAGGCAAAAGGCCCAAAAGGTTCTAGGTTGATGCCTTTGTGCAGAGAGAAATGCTTCATATTTTCAATGAGATGTATTCACCAATCCTTTCATACATTGTACCATGTTCTCGACCGCAGTTCTGGCTTTTTTGAAGTTTGATGACATGTTTCGTGTTCGCCTTAGACCCTTCAATTGATTTGAAATTTAGACAATGGAACTCACTGTAGATAACGGATGTAGTTTCAAGATACCAATGGATTTGCCATTGAAAGATTCATGTCTGTTCACCATTTTTGAAATGACTAACCTTTGTTGAAATGATATGAAGAACAGAGGGGTGCCAGGTTGCAACAGTCTTTCCCGGAACATGTTTAATATTTAAGACAGTTGATACAAATTTAAAGGAATGTAATTGCCGTTAATTTGAATCCTAAATAATATTGGCTCCACCGTATTGTAATTTTTGCCAATCACAGTAATTATTTCTGAAGTATTTTTAAATAAAGGTTACCGTATTGTCTTTTGTATGAATAAATATGCATCAAAGGCTGAAGTTATAAAGCCCTGTGGTCATGTTTATTTGTTCATTCAGACTAAATTCATTGGTATTTATGTCGGACCCTTTATTGACAGTTATCATCATAAGCCTGCACCCTGTACAACCTTATCATCACGGATACATGTACCGGTATACATGTACACAAGAGGAAAGTCTTTCTGCCAAGGGGCACATAAGGGGACGGGCTATTCTAGATTGGAACAAATTCCCGTAGCAAAAGTAGGAAATCTGTCTCGTTGCGTGGTTGAATTAGTCCATCATAAAATTGATTTATCACTGTTTTTTTCTGTTTTTTGCATTGTGTCATTTCTTATTTAAAGACTACTTTTCCAACAAGCTGGCTTATAATTGTATATTGATATAACACAACAAAATAGACACCAGATAACTCAGTTTCCATGATTTGTAATATAAAGGGATTCCATCTCCATCCTTTATTTTATTACAAAATGTTTTCTTCGGTTCTTGTTATCAGACATGCAACATTAAAATAATAAGGAAAGAGGAAAATACAATCGTTACAATACTTTCTACTGTAAAGCCTGTGTTAAGCCTGGACATGAGTTTAAAGTTAAAACTGATGAACTCAGCTTATCCAAGGAAAAGTTGTCTTTCTAGGAATGTCGGACCCATTAAATATTCATTGATATACAGTACATGTACAGTACTTTACCTGTTACCGCGAAAGTAGTACTAAGTCGCCACAGAATGTTTCCCATTAACAGCATTGTGTGTTTTTTTGCTGATTTGGGAAATTTGAGAATCATAAACACAAAATTGCTTTTAAAACTTAGTAATTTTTTGTAGTAAATAGATATAAAATGTGCACTTTATATTATGTTAAAGGACCCATGAATTGTCTCTTTTTTAAAATGTAATCCTTGAAAATGCACTTTTGTCGTGCGCGGAACGAGGGGAGGGGGTCAACCCCAGACCCACCACCACCCCCCACCCCCCCAGCTCTGAAAAAAGAAATCCATAGAAATTCATGGCAAAAAATGAGAAACCCCCTCCCCCACCAAAAATTGTGTTACTGTTAATAATGTCCACCTTTGCACAAAAGCTTGGTTGGGGGTACTATTCTGTGGTACAGTGTTAATAATCGTTGGGTTTGAACAGTATAGTACGAGCCAACCCCCCCCCCCCCAACCCCCCCGCAAAAATTCCTGGATCCGCCCCTGTTCGTGTCAATTTAACATTATTTTCAATTTCAATTTTGCCATTTTGAAGGGTATATTGGTGCTCTTTGGTTTTTAATGCAAATTTTCATATGAGCAAAAGCTTGATGCCATTATATCAGACAGAAACATCAATGTTGCAATTAGTTTATGCACAACAAGTTGGCAAAATTGTGATATTTCGCTGTCGTAAACTTTCTTTCATTATTGAATCGTTTTTATCACAATTGTTTTCAATGACCATATTTTGGGTCCACTTTTTCAATAGAACAACACATAATATGAACAGTGTCTCCCTGAAATGACATCACGACAACAGCAACCTTGGTTGTCCTGAAAAGCATTTAAAATTTTAAAATGTTTAAGAACGTACTGCACATTTCAACAAAATTAACAATAAGGGAGATGAATTCGAAAGTAGCACAAAATATGTTCCTATAAGAAATATTCACTTACTTCATCAGCCCTTTAACTGGCCACTTTAAACTCAATGTTTTTGTGTGTACATATACTAATCTATTTAGGCTACGGACACATTTGTACATTCAACAGTATCGGAGCCTTTTCAATGAATAATGTAATGGCCACACAACTAATGTAAAGGGTCCGCGACATCAACATGTCAAATTATTGTGCACACAGCCATGATGATTACCCTCTTGAAATATTAAGATTAAATGGCACTGTTTCTTTTAGGTAAAAATGGCATCCCACCATTCCTGTACATGCAGTATGCGTACGCCACGCAGTAATTGTGGCTAAAATGTATAAAACTAATTTACTACGTTGTACCATTACTAAGTGCTAATGTGGGCTTAGCAATTGTCCCAATTAAATCTAACTTTCTTGTCACGTTGATTCTGATAGTCCGGTCAATTTATAACAAAACAACAACTTGCAATACAATTTATTTTAATGCTATCACGCTAATGAAAAAGTCAACATACATTACAATCCAATTTCATCAAAGGAGGGAAAAATGTTTGCATTAACTTTTCGCTAATAATTGTTCATCATACGTAAACAGTCATATGGAGGGCTTCATGTTTTCTTTTGCGTCCGTTACCCGTCATAAAATCCGTTCACATCACGTATGGTACTTCGCGAGACACGACTGATCACAGCAGACGACTTTTCTATGTCCACCAATTATTAAAATTTATGTTACTTCACACTGCCGTCACATACTAATTTGAGATTTTATTTATGCACATTTGTTAGAATAACTCACTCTTAGCTCATTAAACCACTTGTTTCAGGGAAAATCTTTGCATAAACAGGTCTACTTCAAACAACACAAATAGATCCATTTAAAGTTAAAATTTAAGTGTGTACTTCACCGGAGTCCAATTTTCAATATTAGGGAAAATATCAGAAATATAAGATTCGTGTGTTCGTTTTGTGATGAATATAGGTCATTGCCATAACTTATAAAATACCTAAAATTATCCCCCAAAAATAAGGTATACTCAAAAAACTTTATGAAGACATATTAACTGGATAAAATCGTGCAGTGAAAATTTAGGTTTATTCTGGGCATAAGAGAAAAGACATAAGGCAGTGTGACAAGTGTACTACCACTCAAGTGTAACACCCTTCCACTGCATTCTAAAACAATTCGATTTTTCACCTATTGTTTGTGTATTTAATTGAATATGTTTGACGCTTGAATGGTTTCTATTGCAATTTGTTTTAGGTATTGACAGAAATTGACCGGACCATGAATCCTTCGAATAATTAAAAAGTAGCCTCAAAATACAATTAATATACAGATGGCGACATTCTGAAAAGAATGTCTTGGATGTACGTAAGCAAATAACGATCTTTTTTTTTCTTTAAGTGAATAGGCATGAACTGCAAATGAAGTCAAAATTTGCTGCTGCCTTGCGGGTTATTTTTAAATTAACACAGAGTTGGTGGAACCACTTGTCACACCTTGTGCATGCTATCCAAGAGATCTGTTGAGATAAAATGCAATAAGTGTTATGTTAAAAAATTGCCTTTTACTACTCAAAAAATAAATTGTGCGCCTCAGGCTTCATGCCAAGGATAACCCACCAAAAAACACAACATTGACAATAAATATATATACTACTATCACCTCCTTAAATATTTGTTAAAGACCCACTGCTCCGATTTACTGTGAACCAAATTGTGCATGGATATTTCAACATAAAAAAATTCTGTGATGGTCCAAGCGCCAATCGCTTGGGAATTTTCCAGAGTTATGGATCAACCAGGGTAACTTTTGGGGTGGATTTGGGTTTCAGAAAGTGGAATTCCAGTCAAAGGTATTTCGTCTATCCAAGTTAATTTCAATTCGTTTCCGATTTTGCTTTACCACTTATGGCTTTTAGTGTTCCGATGAAATTTTTATAAATAAATCACTTGCTTCATATACCATACAGTTATGATATGCAGTTTCATATTTCTGAAAGAAAACATTGACTAATGTTGACCTTGAATCTTCAAAGTTGGGCACCTAAATAGCAATGTCAGCAGAAGGAGCCGAATGGAGACCACGCCTAGTTTTGTAAAATCCTGGTAACAGCCATATTGTCATATTCGAAATATTACATGATAAACCCAAAAATTAAAGTTCAACCCTCTTACGATCGGAGTGCTTACTTGACGCACAAAATCGTCGTTGAATTTCAAGTTTTCTAAATGCAGGCATTGCATTCGTGATTGTCAACATTTGGCCACGATTGTAGCTTCACAGAATTTTGTCAAGGAAGTGGGGATAGCATTCTGGGTAAGTTATCATGACCTGTGTATGAAGCATTCGGCTGCAGCTATTTAAGACAGGATGTAACAAATGCACGCAAATGCTATCCGCAAACTTTCCCATAGATCACATAGAGTCTATATTCGCAACCCGACGTCAACCCGTATCAAACATGATGGTTAATACCGATCTAGCACTATTTATTCCCACTCACGAATACCTTTGCGATAAAAAAAACACACACCTTTTCTGTCAGAAAGTCAAAGCAAGTCAAAAATTAAAAAATTCCTCCAATTTTTTTCCAACAAGTTCACTTCAGGTTTTTCGAAACACTCCTCTAGCTACATAATATAGGAGTCCATATTTCATGTGACACTGAAAAAGTATATAAGACCAGCGAGCCAGTTTCACTTCTGTCACGTGACGGGCTATCGACCAATGCGAATGTGTAAACTGTAATTGGTATTTAGAATGTTCATTGTGATGTCAACGACTTACCCGATTCGTTTGTTTATGTCCACTCTTCCTCAAGTTGAATCTCATGCATGCATGGCAGATGTCCTGTGTTTTAAACATCCATATTTTTAAAATAGGTATAAGTTGCCGCTCTGATGTTATTGTGCCTGGCGCATACAACACATTTTCAAAGATTGGCATAATGAAAGCATTTGTCAGAGGACCTTTATATACCGGTAATATGAATTTACTTACATCTTTTTGCTCATGTCCCACTTCGGATGGCTTCAAGGGAGTAGCTAAGTCATCCTCCACTTCCGATGCAACTCTGTCAGTGACATCTCTCCTACCAAAAAAAATAGTAGATTAATCTTCGTAATGGACTTCACGTATTGTTTGTGGGCGACTTTATTTGAAGGAGATTTATTTCCACATCAACCTTTACATTGTACCAGGACATAATACCCTCACATTGTTTTTGGTAACGAATTTCACAAATGTACCCACCAAAAATATGTTCCTTAGATAAAAAATAAGCTCTGTAATACCTTTGAAAATCAGTCAATATACAAATACCTACCAATTCATTGAGTATAGTTACAAATTGGACTTATTGCTGTCCATAATTGGCACCAATGTGTAAATAATGTATGCAAATGCTATACCCAATATTAATTTCAAATGCTATAAATTACATTTTCCTCAACTGTCATCATTGAACAATCCGTTCGTTTAAGTAATCATGCATTTTTTTACATAAAGTATCTCAACTGCAGGCGTGACAGTTTACAAAAGGAACTTTATCCATAGATTCCATTGATCAATTGTGTGCTGGTGTGAGATAATTTTCATGCACATAACGCATAATTTGTACCTTCGTCGACTTATGTCGAATCCAAAGAGCTGTCTATGTGTTCTTGGTTTGGAAGCTGATTTCCTCTTCACAGGTCCTTGATAAACCAAAAACAAACGCAATAAAAGACTATAGCAGAAATATAAACTCTAAAAGGCCCGGGGCGGAATCCGCCCCCCCCCCCCTCGACTTTTCCCGCGATGGCATTGACATTTTTTTTTCGCGACCCCAGCTGTTATGACTTTTTTGCCTCCAACCTTGCGCATCTTTCGACACCAAGAATATAAAAATCGGACCAGGGGTTGTCGCGCAGCGAGAAATTTTCCCTGCATTTTCCCATATACGTCGTGTACACTGACCATAATTTCCATATTTTTATATCCATGCACAAGAGTTACTCTATGCATGTATCGAGTTTCAAAATTATTCGTCACTCGATGTGCCAGATCTTACCGGGGGGGGGGGGGGGGGGGGAAGGTGCGGAATCCCCCCCCCCCCCCCCCCGGCTGAGAGATGTTCTTAATAACCCGGCACTTTTAGGGTTAACTGATATCAAAACTAGCTTATAATAACAAAGTACATGCGCTAATAGTTAGTTCGATTAACTTGGTATCTTCAATACATGAATTTGTTACAGATAAATAAATATTTGACGTCATCCGCCTTTCATGTGACATCACATGGGTCATTTATTTGTGCAGTGCCTTACATTGTATATGCAGAACTATGGGTCAAATTATGTTGTAACTTGGTGCCTACAGGACATGGATGTGATATGGATGAATTGATAAGTGGCGATTACACAATAATAAATTGATTTATATAAAATGATTGGGGGGGCTTAAAGAAAAGCAACATAGCTCAATGTAAAAATATATGTTCAAAATTTTGGAAAACGTGATGGGGGCAAACAATACATATTGCTGGTTCCAGACAAACATGTTCCATTTTGAATATTGAATTTGCCACATTAACATTATCTAACTGGTTTCATTTTGGAATGTACACATTCATTTCCTGGAGCAGCTTCAACCGTATTGGCAATAAGAGCGTGCAAAAAGATAGACCGCGTGTCTAGCGATTACCTGCAACACGAGCATGCTCAGCGACACCAGGAGCATTGCCAGCAGGGGCACCACGATAAGCATTGCCGACAGGGGCACCAGGATCAGCACTGCCGGCAGGGACACCAGGATCAGCATTGCGGGCAGGGGCACCAGGATCAGCATTGCCGACAGGGGCACCAGGATCAGCATTGCAGGCAGGGGCACCAGGATCAGCATTGCAGGCAGGGGCACCACGATAAGCATTGCCGGCACGGGCACCAGGATCAGCATTGCCGGCAGGGGCACCAGGATCAGCATTGCGGGCAGGGACACCAGGATCAGCATTGCAGGCAGGGGCACCACGATAAGCATTGCCGGCAGGGGCACCAGGATCAGCATTGCGGGCAGGGACACCAGGATCAGCATTGCCGGCAGGGGCACCAGGATCAGCATTGCAGGCAGGGGCACCAGGATCAGCATTGCCGGCAGGGACACCAGGATCAGCATTGCCGGCAGGGGCACCAGGATCAGCATTGCCGGCAGGGGCACCAGGATCAGCATTGCGGGCAGGGGCACCACGATCAGCATTGCCGACAGGGGCACCAGGATCAGCATTGCGGGCAGGGACACCAGGATCAGCATTGCCGGCAGGGACACCAGGATCAGCATTGCAGGCAGGGGCACCACGATCAGCATTGCGGGCAGGGGCACCAGGATCAGCATTGCGGGCAGGGGCACCAGGATCAGCATTGCAGGCAGGGACACCAGGATCAGCATTGCCGACAGGGGCACCAGGATCAGCATTGCGGGCAGGGACACCAAGATCAGCATTGCCGGCAGGGACACCAGGATCAGCATTGCGGGCAGGGACACCAGGATCAGCATTGCCGGCAGGGACACCAGGATCAGCATTGCCGGCAGGGACACCAGGATCAGCATTGCCGGCAGGGACACCAGGATCAGCATTGCAGGCAGGGGCACCAGGATCAGCATTGCGGGCAGGGGCACCAGGATCAGCATTGCGGGCAGGGGCACCAGGAACAGCATTGCCGACAGGGGCACCAGGATCAGCATTGCGGGCAGGGAAACCAGGATCAGCATTGCAGGCAGGGGCACCAGGATCAGCATTGCGGGCAGGGGCACCAGGATCAGCATTGCCGGCAGGGACACCAGGATCAGCATTGCCGGCAGGGACACCAGGATCAGCATTGCCGGCAGGGACACCAGGATCAGCATTGCAGGCAGGGGCACCAGGATCAGCATTGCGGGCAGGGGCACCAGGATCAGCATTGCCGGCAGAGACACCAGGATCAGCATTGCCGGCAGGGACACCAGGATCAGCATTGCCGGCAGGGACACCAGGATCAGCATTGCAGGCAGGGGCACCAGGATCAGCATTGCGGGCAGGGGCACCAGGATCAGCATTGCCGGCAGGGACACCAGGATCAGCATTGCCGGCAGGGACACCAGGATCAGCATAGCAGGCAGGGGCACCAGGATCAGCATTGCCGGCAGGGACACCAGGATCAGCATTGCCGGCAGGGACTGGTGTCTTTGCCAGTAATGCGGAGCCTCCCTGAACACTCTGACTATCTTTTAAATTAAAAATTACATATAAGTAATTACTCAGGTAGACACAGGCTTAATGTATCTACTTTTCATCATAGAATGTTTGAGAATAATTTAAATTTGACCATTGTAATAAAATGTGTGGATTTTAATGAAAACATTGTTCAGTTTAAATTGATGACCATATTGGTAACAGCAGTATTGCAAGATAACCTTTTTTTGTACACGGTTACTTGAAAAAAAAATGCTTCCACAATGCAGATACATACAACTCTAAACGGAAGAGTCTATCAATTAGTTTTATGGTTTTATACAAATTTGCTTCCTATAATATCCAAATGTACATTTCTCAATGAATAAATGAAACTATACTTTCAGTGGTGGGAACCACTTTCTTGCCTGCACAGTGCTTTATGAAGGCACGCAGTTCTAATTGTATTTTGGCGGCTTCAGCAGGCTTGCAGTGGTCAACACAGAATGGGTTGGGGACTTGGTGCCGACATTTGGCACGCTTGAAACCGTTATTAGTTGATCATGTTAATAATTGACATTAAGTGTAAGATATCCAATGACCCTAATAACTATTCTTCTGAGGTTACATATTAAACTTGATTTTTCTCGTCCTTTTTTGTGTGAGATCCTTGTTATGTAACATTAAATATTATTCCGTATTTGCTTCATTGCTAAGTGTTATGTTTACCTGTCGGTGCATTCATATCAAAATCGGAGCTCTCACTTTCAGAACTGTCATCTGCAAATAAGATATAATTCTAACTTGATGTTTACACTGAAAAAAAATGCAATGTATATTAGCATGACTTTGTCTGTGTCATGTTCATTTCAACTGAAGTGATTTAATTCACATGATATACTTAAAATCCATTCCATTTCTGCTTTTATAATAAACTCTAACTGGCAGCCCATGACAGCCATTTTGTACAGTTACTAAAATGCTATTGCAACAAGCACTGGATTGTGATTGGTTCATGAAAGAAAAGAAATGCAACACAGTTCATATAACCTTTTTTCTTAGTACATTAGAAAAATAATTGTCTACAGTGTTATGTATTTAGTATGACATACCTTCACTGTCGTCTATACCGGCTTTCACTTTGAATACTGAAAAGTGAAAGATTAAAAAATGTCAGTAGTATGAAGGAAATGTTTCCTCTAAAGAAGTGCTGTAGCATTTCACAAGGAATGGTTTGAAAATTAGTGGTGTACGTGTCTTCCATCGATTGGACTTTTTATGAAGCTGAAACTATATCAATATACCCACCCTTTTGGAGCTGCTTCAGCTGCTGCATATTGAAGCGCTTGTATGATATGAACACGGCCGACCTATTACGTGGATTTGTGCTTCCATCCGTCCGGCCTCTTCTGATGTAGCTGTAGCACCTGTCAGAGTTCATGAATGCTTGGATCTTGCCTCTCATCAGATGGTCGGCAGAAATGGCACTCCTCCATGCCACCTTCGAGTGCAATGGCAGATTGCTCTTTTGAAAGAGTTGAATCATGTCGTTCATATGGAAGCCCAAGCCTTCATCAGCTGGAGTTCCCTGTTCTGCATTTGCCCGTAAGTCAATGTGTGGGTTTATTACCATCAGCAACTAGGATGAAAAGTGTAAGTTACTCAAAATTGTGAAGTCTGTAGGTCTAAAGTGTTTTTATATTGTACATATTATGATGTTGTGATTAGCTGTACAGGATGAGCCCCCCCCCCCCCCCCCCCCAAAAAAAGAAAGAAGCAATGTCGGGACGTAATTTTTAAATCTAGGATATGAAAGCCCGAAGCTGAAAATATTGCCTGGGTTAATGTACTAGATTTTTGAAAGTGCTGCATGTACAACCTGTCTACATGCTTTGATTTTTTAATTTACGAAGAGCCGCATATGCAACATGAAAAGAGCCCCTCCCCCGCCACTTGCACATCTGCACATACACAAAATTTATTCACTCACCTCCCCCAAGCTGAAAATGCGTGTTGCCTGCATTATTATGCCTGGAATGTCTAGTTGTCTATTGTCGGGGGAGGTACCAGTATGTAGTTCAGTGTGCGTGATATCGCTCTGAAACGTCTTGATACGAGGGACCATTGCTTCCTGAAGGAACACCTCCGCAGCTTCAGGTGGGTACTGTAACGAAGCTTTGCGAATGAGCTTGGAAATACCAAAAAAGAAACACAATAGTATATTTTATTGTACATGCTATGCTGTGTAAATCCAAAGTGTACTTTTATTATACATGTATATGATGTTTACTTATATTGTAGGCTACATATTTTCCCCCAAAATCTTTGTAGTATTAAATACGTGTACACAGAATAAGTTATTTTCTTATTAACTATAAGAAAGGTAGAGTGCACTGTGCAACTGTGCCATTCTTAACGTAACTGTCATTTTGTCCATACTGCAAAGATTTTCGGGCAAAAATCTATTTTACTTGATAACCAAAAATTATGGGCGCTATTAATGTATAAATCAACATGCATTCCGTAGAAAGTTGCTGTTATTATTGTAATGTTTAGATTTTTATTTATCATTTACATGTAGGGCTATATGATTCCTTTTGGAGTGGGCAAACATAAAACCGGCTTACGTGCTCTGTTACAAATAACAGCAAACCGTAGCAAAGATGTATTCTGTCCTCGCAGTTGATACCCTTGGTGGCTTTGGCGACCTTTGATCTGTACACAGTAAGGATGTCGATCTTGTGTTTGGTTAGTTTCTTGCCAATCTTCACCAGGGCAGGAAGGGCATGGACCGCTCGCTCCTCAATCTCGCTCCTTTCCAATTCATCAAGGCACTGTCGCTCGCCCATCCTTCGTTCACTCTTCGAAAACGGAACAAGCAATGCGCGAGACATTGCCCTGTAATTATCGAAACAAAAAATTAGCTGACAATCACTAGGACACTATACGTGTGAAATTATTCCATCTCGCGCACATGCTGGAATTTTGAAGAAAAGCAGAATTCTACGTCTTGTTCAAAAGGTGCAAAAGATACCACATATGCATTGGGTAGACTTTGCCCCGTCTATTGATTTTAACGTTTTGTTTGGTATTGTTAGTATAATTTCAAAAGGTAAATATATCAATTCGCTGTTCAATATTTTTCACTAAATGTTGTATGCACAATATCTCAAGAGGAAATATTGGCTCTGCATCTTACGATGGCAAATACATGTAAGTAGATTGTATGGCGTGCAACTTCCAACAATTTTCTTCACTGAGGCTCAGTAGTATGGTCTTAGGAGGCCACGTTTAAGTAATCGTGTGTACATTTGAATCCTACGTCCTTGCTGTTCATATTAAATTTGAGGCTTGAAAGGTTTGCAATGGACCAAATCCCCCCCCCCCAAAAAGGATTCCGGAGTTGTTTGTTTACTTAAAGCATACCTTGCATTTCCTGCAACTTTATCCAACACAAACCAATTCGCCGTTACTATTGGGCATGTCTTTGGCTGGCTTTCAAATGAGCATGTAGCGTCAAGGCCCCCGTTGAAATATTTCGTCATGAGACCTTCGATGTCTTTCCCCTCGGCATCATCGATAAATACCGGGAAAGATGACGCCGCCGTTTGTTTGGGCAAATAACGCTCTCCGGCATATCCCAAGTGGTGATTCATGCCCATCATCTTCGAAGCCATCCGACATGCTGTGGTTTTCCCTACATCATAAAATGACACGTAGAGTAAAACACCCCAAAAAACAAAAACAAACAAAAAACGGTTGAGTCATTCTTATTGGTCGTTGGTGCTTCACTTGTGGAAAATTAAATAAGCCCGAGGTGTTAAAACTCAAAATCTTGTGTGGTTATTAAATGTCCAAAGCTTAACACTAACAAAATTTAGGACAGTGTTTAAGCGGGGTCATTGTGATGATCCATAATATATCAGTTGATAAAACAGTGGCTACATCGAGAAATATCGACCGCGCCATTTTACGGGAAGCAAATTAACTGTCGTAAGCCATATCCCGTTAAATCAGTGGTGTATCAAGAAAACCAAAGAAAACCCGCTCAAAAACCATTACCATGCACCGTGAAATTGTCCATATAATAATATAGTATGCATAACAATGATCAGTTTTGAAGAGCACCCCCATTTGGAAGACAACTACCAGCCCCCTGGATATAGATAAGTGTATTTCTATTTGTTTTGGACCAAAATAGATTTTCTAAGGCTGGCAATGAAACCATAGCTGAAAAAGGAGTGGCGAATTCAAAATCTATAGCAAAGGAACTTGGGCAACAGAGGGCGGTGTGGGCGTTGCGAGGAGGGGGATGGCGGCTCGCATCCCGGCTCGCATCCCAAAGAAAAGCCAAACCAATTGGAAAAGAAAAAAAGAGGAGCTAAGTAAAATAACTGCTGTCAAATTAATCTTGGGGTTTTCAACCCACCCACCCTCGAAATAAAGAATAAAATGTGGATATGGCGGGAAATTACAGACAGAGATTTTGTAAGAAAAAAAAGGGCTTTCCCTGGAAACAAATGTCCAAAGACTTGATGTAACATTTTTAAAATGGAAAATACCTGTATTCACGTCTCCAATAACTATTGGGATAGGGCAACATTTGTAGGTTTCGATCAGCGTCTGATAATGCATGCAGAGGCATGCACTTCCTGCAGTAAAAACAAAATAAGGATTAAACTTTTAATTGTGTAATAGCAATGCCAATACATAATCTACATGTACAAAAAATGTATATATTAGACCAGAAGTTGTTAGTGAATATTTACATCTTATATTGTCACCTAGGCACATGCAATCGATGCCTTGGGATTCACATTTAACATACGCAGCCGAAACGTTGTGATAGATATATATTTTTTGAAATACATGTAGCGCTTTACAAATTACGGTTCTAGGATGTAAAAGCCCAATCAACAAGCATATTTTAACCTTAAAATAATCATTTGAATTGCTCTTGCCCTTTTTTTTTATTTTTGTAACTTGGAAGACAAAGTACGTTTTGGACTCAGAATTATCCCGTATGCCCTTTCACACGACACAACCAAAATCTCTCAATGGTTGAAACCTAATTGTTTGCCTTATATTTACGCGCTCCACCAGTGAACGAGCCAAAAGCCATCTTCAATCATTCAAATGCAGGTGCTCAATTCATTGGTTGCCTCTATACAATCTCGGTCCTGCAGTGTTAAATGATACTAATCCAGTGCCGCAGTGCATGAATAATATCCCAGCATTTGCAAAGGCTCACAGATGAAATAGCATGTACTGTCAACATGTACACGTTTTGTTTAACCCTTTAGTGCCTGAGAGTACTTGCTGGCTACTAATATACTACTGGCTGTGTGTCTCACTGTAGGCTCACTAATTGGCGAAATATTCACATTTGCCAATTTGCATATTTAATTTTCAATTTACTAAATGTCCACATATGTGGACGTCAGGCATTTACAGTTGCGTTATACCCTATATTCCTCATGAATTAGGACTGATATAAACTGAGCTGTGGACACGTGTCTGGTGTAAAATTCAACTTCAGTTGCAACATTTATTCATTAAGATGGTTAGTGATAAGCATTCTGTCAATAATTGCAGAAAATGGCAAGAATGAAATGTGGAAATAATGTAAAATTCCGAGCAGGCATACATGTAAATATTCCACTGACAATATCGAAATTCTTCAACATTTATTGAACATTTTTGTTCACTAGTACACAAACATCACATACATGTACATACTGGCAAGAATGACATACAACAATTACTGATGAACAGTAAGGAAACTAGGAAAGTACAAAACAAAACAAGAATACAAGTATTTTTGGGAAAAAATTCCGTACTCGGACATCACTTTTTTCAATTAATTTTCTAGCGCCAAAAGTTACATCTTTTATGGTTATTTCTCCACTTTCCCTCCTCTACTCTCACCCTCTCATTTCCTTAATTTCTATTTATTAATCAGTCAGTTACTTCATCGGGATTCGAACCTCTGGCGCTTGCTTGATACACGAGACTCTTAACCGCTAGGCCGCGCACGATCGCTGTTGCAATAATCAATCTTTGGACGTATTTGAAGTATCCATTGAAATAAACTAAATATTCATGAGAAAATAAATACTCATAATGACGTATCATTGGCAGGCTCATGCGACGTCATGGTTGTTGATGTCACGTGTATAACGTACCGCTGTCTGCAGCCACTACAATCAGTTTTGACCGGCTGCTTCAAGTTAGTTCTGCACGACATATGCATCCAAAATGTGCTCTAAAAACGGTAATCCTTACTTTTAGGACCCCTTTCCTATATAAGGTTAAAAGACTCACCAAAACAACTGACTAAATGACACTCAAAAGTGACATTCTGATATTTAATGACACATTTGAACATTTGGCAATGACACCTCTTGAATATCAGCAGGTTTGATTTTGTAGAAAGAGGGCAGGGTTTTGATTTATGAGGGGTTAAAGACGACGATGACAAACAAAAACTAAATTTTACAAGCATGATGGCGAACTGCAAAAAAAGGTAGGAAAGTCACATTTTCTTTGAAAGTGCTTTCAAAATTATAACTAACATGAGTTTGTCTGCAGAAAAAAAAAGACTTCTTTAGCCTGCAAAAGTCACTTTGGTACTGGACAGTCATCTGCAAAAGTCAGTTTTGAACAGAACTCGTACAAAATAGAGGTGTCCTAAAAGTAAGGATTACCCTAAAAACACATTTTGAGTAAATTTTTTTCACCTTTAGCTTTACACAGCTTCATGGATTTCTCTTGGTTCAAATGACAAAGTGAGAAGACAATTAATATGTTTGGCAGCAAATAAATTGACGTCCGACTCCGAGTACGGAAATTTTCCCGTGCCACATTGCCTGACGTCCACATATGTTAATAGGCGCCAATTAGAATTAGATTAGTGCCCGGTGTCCACAAAAGTGGACAATTTGTTTGGCGATATAAGTCACATAAAAATATATGATATTTTACAAAGTAAAGTGTCACCTTACATTCCTGAATCACTACATCAACGTAAATTGGCCACCAACTAACCATTACTTAGAGAAAGAAGAATTTTTAAAACAAAATCTAAAGAAACTCACCGCGAAGCTTTACTAGTGGAGGCTGCCATTTTGATGAGTTGTATATAGCCCCCTCAATTGTCCACATTTTGATAGTTATGGTCACAAAATAATGATCACTTTGGGTACGGTACAGAGATCACTATATGCAACACATTGCAGTATTCTCAAATAGGCACGTATGTTGAAATGATGATAATAGTAACGTCCACGTATGTAGACGCAAGGCACTATTTAATAAGTTAAAACAGTTCAGCGTAATCAAATGAAATCGTGCCTTAAATGGAAAAAAAATCGAATGGTTAATTTTACCCAAGCAAGGGTGAAAACTGGAACTTCCCAAAATTGGGTTGTGCTTTACCCAATTAGTTGGGTTATAATTTATGTTAACTTCGACCCAAACTTGTGGTCGTTAGACTAAAAAAAAATATGTAAATCTAACGCTCCTTTGCTTCGGTCGTTTGAAAACGGATGTCTTCACTGACGAGCGTGTACCTGTTAAGTGTTCGCGCGGTGTCGACAGGTTAGTAGTACATCGCGCGCTATAGGTACCGATTCTTATATACCTAATGGCTTCATCTGACATCGGTATCATACATTAGAGACACACTCTCGGAAAAAATGGTTCGGATAACATTGTTAACTTATTTCTTATGATGGGACTGCGGTTTGGCCGAAGTCAATTGAGCGTGATCGGCTGACTGATAAGGTTTACGTACAAAACCCCAAGACAACGAGTTTTTTGTATAGAAAGCTGCTGGACCACATTTTGCGAGAGTGTGTCCGTAATGTAATGAAGGTTGCCATGTTGTGACCCAATTTTGGTTACAATTGGACTCCAACTTTTTAAAATGATACCAGATTTGCGAAACCTTTAGTCTAACTACAACATTCATACGTACATACATTCGGACGGACCAAACAAAAATCTGGGCACCATCTTTGTTTGCTTTTGTTTTTACTCGCCCTGTATTCCTGGTGTATAAACTACAACTTACCGATGGCGAAAAATGCAGACAGAGCATTCTCGTGGAGTGTTTTTGCTAAGGAAGAAAACACCTCTTGGATGGCCAAGTCCGCATTGAAGAGATTGAATCTCGTTGGCACAGCAAGCCGCTTGCAACTTGCACTGCCTGATATAAGGTGCTCGATCCACACGAACTCCTGCTCACCCGGTGGAATTTCTTGGCCATCTCCATCTAATTGTGTGCCCTTCGACAAAACCCATATATCTGTTCCAGGTTGTTTACCAACGCACGAAGCTGCCTTCTTCCGTATGCATCCACCGTCTTCTTTACATCTTCTGCATAAATCACATACATGAAGTACATTTTTATTGTTAGCTTTACACGTGTACTTGTGTTTTATGTATACCTGGCTATACAAAATGAATGAATCTTACTACGATTTCTTTTAACCAAGCGAGGCAAAGTAGTTTACTTGAAAACTATCATATTGTGTATAACATTTTTAAAGTAACGTCAATAGTCGGGTTTTTTTCTTGAGAGGGGTTGCACTGATCATGTTGGCCCCGAAATCTGCAAAGCGATACGAAGGGCAACATGAACTTGGCTCGAATCCTAAATGTCAGGAAAAAAAATGATTTCAAAAACTTCACTTCAATTAATATTACATATACTTGAAAACAGTCTAAAGACAAGTTGTATCAATTTGAATTCGGGATTTTTTTTTTTTTACTAAATTTCAAAAGTAATTACTGGAATAAGTGTCGGTTCATGTATGAGCTTACTCTGAAAACTTTTCAACCTCTTGCAAGAAAAAAGTCTTGAGGTCACTGGCGGTAAGAGTGTGCAGCAGACTGCCTCCCCCACCATCCTGTGCTCCGAAGGAGTCAGATAATTCTTTGGAGAATCTGTCGACATTGGACATCGCAGTAGTAGTCACGAAGCATAATCTGCAACAAAGGCGAAGTAATAATCATTTTTGCAACTTTCACTCGGGAGGTAACACACAGTATAAAGTGTTAATACGTCAGTGAAGGGCAAAACCTAATCAGTGATTTACATCACCCCGACTCAAAATTCCAGCTTATATATGAATAATCGTGGGCGCCATCGTTTCCCCCTTCCCTAATGTTTTCATCCCTGAATAAAAAAAATAGTTTACTGTAATGATTATATAGCTCATTAGCGGGACCAGAACAACACGCATTTACGGCTTCGCGCATGAAAAGTTGCAGTACAACTCATCAAGGAATCCCCCAGTCAGTTGCCGAGTCACGCGTATAGCTGCTCTATTTTCTCGTCCACACAATGACAGCAACGCGAGGCCAGCGTACGATGGCCGTTAAAAGGGATTTGCAAAATTCGCAATTTTCATGGCAAACCACAACCGATCCAAACAAAACAAAGTTGTTTTAGGTAGTCAAAGACCTACTTCATACATCCATCAAGGTATTTTTTTTTTAAGATTTTGATGCATTTTGACGATATTTATGATTTCACAGACAAATCGACTAAAAATTAGGCCATGAAATTTCCGGCGAAAGACGAAAGCCTCCCAAATGTTGAAGTAATCAAAGGAAAGAGAGAACCTTCATCTACCAAAAGTATCGTGAACGTTATGTTAATATTTTAGTAATTCGATGTACACCTAATGTTTCCAACAACTTCCATTTTTCACAACGCGAAAAGATCGTCGCCATTGTAAAGCATAGAGCGAGGAACCCAAACACGGTGTGACCTTGTGACCCATGCGCCCACATGATTGGTCGAGCTCGAGTATGGCCTGCTTAATATTCACAGGTCATTCGTTGCACGCTATAGCACGTGCTATTCACAATGTTTTCAGGACAACATCGGCATACAATGTACATACTACGTACATGTACTTAACGTTTGTTTATACACGCGTGCATATGTGATTGCGTATCATGACATCTCTCAAAAGTCTTCATTTTTCAACCGGCAATTTGGAACAAACATTAGAAGTCTCCTACACGTGTTTCCCAAAAAAAGAAGCGTTAACTTGCCTCTATCTACTGAGCCTTGCCATTTTTTTGGCCTTTTGTTTGACAGGCCGTAACAACACTTTGTAATTGTCAAAAAGCAGTTATTTTTGGTATCAAAATAAAGCACACGATCTCAACTTTTCACTTATTTAGCCATCTTGACCAGACAGAGTATCCAAGCACTTTTCGTGTTTTTCTGTAGTCTCGAATAAATCTCGTAAAATCTCGCGTACGCTTTTGGGCCATGCTTGCTTGACCTCGGGACAAGAAACTGAAGTAAAACATAGCTGTGTGAGTGACACAGCCACTGACTGTCCCCCTGCCGTTTTGAGAATGGATTGGTGCCCTTGGTAATGAAATGATGTAGTCATTGAAAAGAGAGTCAAAGTGCAATAATTAGCTTAATCTATACATTCCAGTACAGTCGTATAAGATGAACGAGTGACGAATACTAAATAAGATGAATGCATGGGTGACGATTACTTTAATGAGAATTAATGATTGCAGTTTACGAAAAAATAATGGCAATTGAACATAAGGCCAAAAAAAAAGGTCTCCGGTTTCTGGTATGCGCGCGCGCCGCCGTAGCCATGCACGTCGGCAAAATGAAAAAAAAAACAATTTTCAATGTAAGATGATGTCTCAAAACCGCCAAACTCACTGGTTTGACTGGAATTCTGCTGCTGCACAATTTTAACGTGTTTTTATGATCGAGAATAAGCTTAATGTAGCCTCTCTGAACTCCCATATATTTGCACTAAGTTTAGTCGGGCACCATTTGCAGTAATCAGTCGACATTTGAAGCAAAAAAGTCAGGTAAAAAAAAAAAAAAAAGCTGCGTCGCCGCAACACTTTTTGGACAAGCTCCATACCAGAAACCGGAGACTTTTTTTGGGGGGGGGGCCTAATGTATGTAAAGACAAACGAATATCACTGATATTAATACGACAGGCAAGGAACTCGATGAAGAAGTGTGGAAATAGGTTGCATTTTGCCAAAAGAATGGAATAACTTGGTTTTCGCTTCAACTTGAGCATTCTTTTATATCACTTCATTTTAAGCTTCAGGTGGAAAACATACAATTCGCTGCATGGAGTTGGTTTGTAGCTGATTTTAATTAACTGCAGTGTTTTTCATAATTATTTTTTAATATTTCGCATAGCCGGAAGACAGTGCCGATGAACGGATTTGAAGTAATTCATCCCGTCCGCGATGTTCCTTTAAAACGTCACAAAATTTGTAAAGTTAAAAGAAGAAACCCACTTCGTTACCCTTTGACAATTGCAAAAACAATTCTAAAACTCTGCTAACCTCGTGATGCCCAACACTGCACTGCGTACTTCTATCAGAAGTCCACTGTTCTGGCCGGCATCTATTAGTCTTTCGACGGTCATTGTGAACGATGCTACCTCTGTTCTCATCCGTGATTTTTGCTTACTTCTGAAAACTTTCCAAATTCTGTCAGCTTCCATCTCAAAGTACTCTGTACAAAATGGGAAGGAAAACGTTTAAAGTGAAATATTTACTGCAGTTTATTTTTTTCATGTACTATATGCCGCTGGTAACTGCTTGCACACCTACTCAAATAAACATAGAAGAGCAAAAGAAAATACAAGAAAACACAAAAACAGTGCCTATGTCTGCAGTGCTTTACAATGATAACAAGAACAGTTAAAGTTACACGTGGGTCAAATATAGTTTCGCCGAATCACAAGTCCTGATTACCGTCGATGCCATGCATTACAAGTCCCCACAGTTTACGGAAAAGAAATATGTGAAAGCACATTGAACCGCAGGACGATGATATCCACAACGAAAGTTATGGATTGGCAATGACATCACTTCTATGCAGAATACGTATTTCCAATTTCCATTACAAAAGTATCATTGTTGCGAGTTTGCAATATTTTTTTTTCGGCAACCAGAATAACCCAAAAAATGTGGAAGTTAAAATGGCAGCTCCCCGGCTATGGAGATAAAAAATAAATCATGCAGGCGCTTCTTTACAATGTTTGCGGACGACTGGGCATGTTCCACGATAATAAATTTCATTTCTTTGTTTTCGAATGTAAAATGATTACCCAATCACTGGTTAGTGCGTATTTGTGTTGGGGTTGATAGCGTACGTGGGG